TACCTTGGTAGGATATCAAAACATACACAGAGATTATGGCAAGTAAATTAAAACCCTGGTTATCAGTAATCTATGTCAAATTGAGGAATAAGTTTCTGATTATTGTGATATTTTGTTAAGATAATGTATTAGAGAATCTGATACGTTGAATTTAATTTTAAATGCTTAAAGGAATGTGAAATTAGATCTGTGATTTTAACAATGTCGAAGAATTGTAAGTATATAAGCATTTGATGTTTAAAGATTTTTATTTATGGGGATCCCTGGGTGGCGCAGCGGTTTAGCGCCTGCCTTTGGCCCAGGGCGCGATCCTGGAGACCCGGGATCGAATCCCACATCAGGCTCCCGGTGCATGGAGCCTGCTTCTCTCTCTGCCTCTCTCTCTCTCTCTTTCTCTCTCTCTCTCTGTGTGACTATCATAAATTTAAAAAAATAAAGATTTTTATTTATTAAATATATGAGTTTAGACATAAATATGTTCATATTTGAATGCTTAGGAAAACTTCATCTAATTTTAGGTCTTCCCTATTAGCAATTGGAAATGTTTGTGGAATTCAAACAGATTGGGTATGTGGTTGACTTTGAAATATCTAAGGAGACTAGATTCAATGTACAAACAATATTTACAGTTTATTTTTTTTAATTATTTTTTTAAATTTTTATTTATTTATGATAGTCACAGAGAGAGAGGCAGAGACACAGGCAGAGGGAGAAGCAGGCTCCATGCACCGGGAGCCCGACGTGGGATTCGATCCTGGGTCTCCAGGATCGCGCCCTGGGCCAAAGGCAGGCGCCAAACCGCTGCGCCACCCAGGGATCCCAATATTTACAGTTTAATCCATTAAGTTTTGAGATGATTGAACCATCAGTCAAGGAATAAGCAAAAGTGTTTATATACAAAACCAACTAGTTTGTAGTTAGAACAAGACTTGGAAATCAATGTTAAAAACACAAATTAGATTTTAAATGTACAGCTTTAATAACTAAGATACTATTAGAAATGCCAGTAATTATAAGCATCCTTTTCAGTGTGCAAAGGCTCTGGTCAGACACCAGAATCTGATGGACAGTGTTTATTCATGTCAAACCCTAGGAACTCTGAACACTAGTCTCCTCCAAGAGACATGAAGTACTTGCCACACTGCAAGATAGAGTTTATGCCCCACCCTCCTTGCTGATAGGGATGGGAAGGTCTAGCAATGAGAGTAGTTGTACCTGGAGAATCACCCTTTTCCTAGGAACAAGGATGGAAGAGAGCCTTGAAACTGGGTGTTCAGCTGGTGGATGGAGAACCACTGCACGCCAGCACCAGTGGTTATACCCAAAGACCATCAGCCCTGACAACATCAGTTGAAGAGCCAGTGGTAGGCAGATGAGGCTCCTGTTCATCTGAGATGAAATTCAAATGGGACTCTGTTGGGCCCTAGCATATTATTGTTTTTAAAATTTATTTTTTAATTCACATACAGAAAATTTGTGTGTGTGTGTGTGTGTGTGTGGTTTTGACAAAGGCACCAAGTCATATAACCATTTCCGTATTAGGATACAGACAATTCCATCAGCCCTCACATTTCCTCCTATTATCACCCCCCTCCTTCTGCCACAGGCCATGCTTAATCTCTGGCAACCACAAATCTGTTCTCCATTTCCTACATTTTGCCCTTCCCAGAATGTCATATAAATGGAATCACTCAGTAAGTAGCCTTGAGTCTGGCTTCTTCACTTTTATAATGTGTTTGAGATGTACATTTTAAAAGCTTGCTGAATATTCCTCAAAGTGTTCATCCATTCCATACCCACCCCTCTGTCCAGGGATATTTTAGAACATTTGCTGTCCCCCTGCATGCTTACTTTTGAAGGCTTCCCTACAGCATTTCAAACATATTAAAAGGTAGCCATTTTTCATATTTAAGGTAACTTTTTCTCGTATTTTTTTGAAAAGATCTTTTTGATCTTTTGAAAAGATTGCTTTTGAAATTATTTGACTTTGTGATTGTGACACTTCACCATAATGAGAAAAATAATTTTTTAAAGCAAATAACAATGAGGCTCATAGGATTGGAAAGACATGTAAGTACATTTATTGATTTTTTACTTTGTAGCTTTCTTATGTGAGCACCAATGCTTTTTCAGGCTTCAAACATTCCTGTTTCCCTGGAAAGCTCAAAGACTCTGGACACCGTGTCTCAAGTGCCTAACAGGGCCCCACAAGAATTCCAAGGCTAAAGGCATCACGGTTCTGACCTACACCAGTGAAAGAAGGGAAAAGAAGACTGCTTTCTCTGAATCATAGCAATGCTCTTTCTAAAACAAAACAAAGCATAGAGCACAGTAATTCTTTTTAAAGATTTTATCTCACAAACACAATGAACTGTGTAAAAATGTTATGTGCAAATGTGTTCACTGCAGCAGTACTGGTAATAGAGTCAATCATCAGTAAGGGATTGCTTTGCAGGTCGTACATCACACACTGGAACACCACACAGCCATGAAAAGGGGTGAGGTAGATCTTTACGTGCTAACAGTGAAATTGTCACAACTCAGTGAAAGCACAAGTTGCAAAAAAAAAAAAAAGATGGTATAGTTTGATTACATTTCTGTAAAAATAAAAATCATCTTGATGTTAGTAAATGTGAAGAAAAAAATTCCACAAGATATATGCCAAATTTAACCATGGCTTCCTCCAAGGGAGGAAAGAGTTTTCATATGTTCTTGTGGTAGGATGGGAGTTGGGTGTGGTGGGGGAAGGTGTTCATGATTTACTTTTTGCAACATTTGAATTTCTTGCCACCAGCATTATTACTTTGGTCATCAGAAAAGTTAAATAAACATTAAACAGCCCAAAACACAAGCGGGAACATTGACAGATGTGAATTGATGTTCTGGATCTCCAAGCACGTTGTGGATGAGCTTTACAGACTGTTTTTGGGTAAGCAGGTCCCTGTCCCCTTCCCTCAAGGTCAAAAAAGCCTAAGCAAAAACTCTCTCCCACCCAATAGTAATCATCCACACAAAAAAGAAACTTATCTGATATGCTTGAGAGGTTTCTGGAAAAAAAGACTTTCCCACTGGGAAGTTAAAGAGCACCTTGGTTGAGAGGATAAATGGGGAGCTAGCATTCAAGTTCTGCATGGCATCTAAGAATTCCCAAGTCAATCAACCTCGTCTACTCTGGACAGACCCTTATCCCCTGGGAAGGCTATCAAATGCTGGCGGGTCAATGCGAAGGGAACGTGCTATGTAGACAAACATGCACATGCAAAGCACCGTGTCGGTAGGAGCTTCAGGGACGTGCTCATTAGACCAAGATATGGAGATGCCGTCCCCCAGAGACCTGGTCATTTGCAGAGCCTTGAGTCAGAAGGGCCGCATGAGAGAGCCCACTTGAGAAAACCAGGCCAGTGATGGTGCTGCAAAGTCCCAAGTCCATTCACTCGGCGTCCTGTCGGCCTTACAAAGTCTGCTGGCAGTGGGCCTGCAGGCCCTCCTCGCTGATGTCCGGGGGGCAGGCACTGTCTCAGGCTCCCATACCTGTGGAACTGCTTGCATACGACAGAAGCTGCTCCAAGGGACACTGTGATGCTGCGGTGACCCCGAGGGGCCTCTTTGCTTTCCCCCCACAATTGCTTCAGAAACTGTGAGTGTCCACACCTGGTTCCCACAGTCACCTGTTCAGGACAAGCAGCAAAGACAGAAGAAGGAATATTGTGGGACCAAGTGGCTTTTGTGGAGAACTAGTGGGCGCCCCTGAACAACCTGGGCATCAGGGTCAGCCCATCACTCCTGCTCTCTATGGGCTGTGGCAGGACATGGGCCATGGCCCAAGGCAAAGCTGTATGGCCACCAGGTTATGGCTGCTTTCACCTCCTGATGGCACGGCTGTCCTGGGAGGGCAGGCCTGAGGGAGCCAGGGAAGGCTCATTTGTAAAGCAGGTTTCCTTTTCACTTAACAAATACAACCGGTGCTTCCACTGTACCCTTTCTCACGGCTGAGTGGGCCACTTTTCCTTCCGGCTCATGGGAGCTTCCGAATGCCACAAGAAACAGCCCATGGATCTGGACCCGAGACCCTTGATCCCTTCCCTGCTGTACAACAGCAGACTCACCCAGCCTCCAAGGTAAGATGCCTTTCCAGAAAGGGCCAGGGGAAGAAGATGGGGAGTTGGAATGAACTATGGAGACACCAGCAACAGAAAGCAAAGAAGGGACTAAGGCATCCTCCAGACGTCACTGGAGGTGACATTGGTCTACCACCTAATCACTAGGTTAGAAGGGTCAAGGCAAAACATGGCTTTCCTGGCTTGCCCAGTCTACTGGAGTCACCTGCCATTTGCCCCACTCCAAGGATCAGTTTACGATACCTGTCCCACTTATCTCTGGTCAACAGTGTCCTTAAAACTGGCCCTTCTCACCTCTGGAACTCCCCCTGCTTTCCTCTGGCTAGAACCTGGCATGAATGCTCTTCTATTTCACTCAGTTCTCTGTGGCCATGGGTCTTGGTTAATGGCCCCTTCCACACTGAAAACTCTCCATACATTTCTTTTAAAACCTTTTATTCAATAATATATACTTTTAAAATTATAATATGTAACTGCCCGTCATGCCATATATTGCCCCGTTCCCCCACTCTGGAGTCTGTGGTCGGCTAGTTAACGTGGTCTGCTGGAAAAACAGGCGGCCACAAGGCCGAGTCAAGGGACACGGGGGAGCAACAGTAACCAACAACCATTTTGCATACCCTTCACATTTCCCATGCTTTCTGGGTCAGGAGGAAGTCAACAGGAAGCCAAAGGCGTGTGAACCTTTTACATTCGGAAGTGAGGTTTGATATACGGTGGTGGGCTGCCCTTCGGTTGGTCTGGTTCGTGCTGGCCAAACCTGCCACCATTTTGTGTCTGCTCACGGAACGTGATCTCTCTACACACGTTAAGACGTTTGATTTGGTTCTTGTTCTGCTTATGGAAAAGTGGGAGGAACCGCAACAGACCTGGGGAAAGAGATGGGAGGAGGGGAAAGATGGCATTAATCAATCTGACCTGGAGTGAGGACAGGCTTCCACTTGCCTGCGGCTAGAGTGCTGGGAACAGAGTACAAGCTTAACTTTCCCATGCCACTTTGTGGAAAACCTAGTAAGAACTAACTTTATGATCTCAGGTTTCAGAGCAATACCCTCTTCCTTCCTCTGTGATTGCTACTAACAAAGATGGTCTAAGGTGTGGTCTTCTGGAAAAGCAAAGGGAAAGCTCTGGTTGTAGCGTGTGTTCCCTGGGTCTCCTCCCCACCTCTTGGGCCCAGAACACAGATTTAGAAGCCCTGAGGCCTTTTGACCATTCTGTGCAAGCAGAGCAAGAAGCTCGGCATTTCCAACTCCACATCCCCATCAGCCGTGGCCCCATTTACTGAGGACACCTCGGGACTAATCAGAGGACTGTATTTACACCAGGAAAGTGCCAAGTTCACAAATAAACAAAGAGTAGAAAGGTTAATATTTTTAACTTTCCCCTGGGAGCAGCTGTGTGGCATGGCCTGAAAACCCCATTTCTTCTTCCACGTCCAGCACAGTGAAGTGGGGCGGTGAGATGCCAGCAGAATTATAGCAGTGTCTCAGAGATCCACCCTAACACCAACAAGAGAAAGGACTATGCCCTTGGGAAGGAAGCTGTTACAGAAACATCGTCTCATGAAAACTTTCCCTGGACAAAGGAAGGGTTCTACACTCTTGAGCAAGGCCACATGGTGTGGAAGGTTAGGAAAGAAGGGTCTTATTTGCCTTACAGCACTTCGGCAACTGACTTCCAATTGTCCAGCGCCACAGAGGGATCCGTCAGTGAGAAGCACACTAATTAAAGACACCACCATCTGCCAAATGCAGACTCAATAGCGTGTGCCTGCTTGTGATGCAAGGAATGGGGGTGGGGAGAGGTTTTCATCAACACAGAGCGCTCTGCCACAAAGGTAAAAGCTGTGCACTGGAATGGGCCGATCCCAGGAGCAGGTGCCTGGGGAGGGCAATGAGGAAGCAAGTGCCAAGGAACCACACAAGCCCCCATTGGGACACCAGTCTAGCCCCGCCTCTCTCAGTAAAGGAAAGCCCCACCGGAACATAGGGATTCACTGCAACCTCCATAGCACACATCTTTGCAGTTCAAGGTTTCCCCCTTCTCTCCCCCAAGACACAGGAAATACAAGCTTAAGGTCCTCAGAACAGTGGCTTGTCTCCCGCTTTGGGAAGATGGTGGTTATCAACATTTTTATTTATGAAAACAGGAGTTAACATGGCATTTGTCTTTCCTCTAAGGGCAGCAGCACGTCAGTCATGCATCAGTCATCCAGTGATACAAAGAGATGGCCAAGTGTGTCTGAAGTGGTCATTTGGAAAGGATAGGAACCCAGGCAGTGGTGCTTTTCTGCAAACAGAAGGAAATAGTTGGCTCCATGGGTCTTGAAGATTTATCCAAGCTTTCCACAGGGTGTCAAGATTTCTGTCCCAACCTCTTAGTCACCATTTACAGCAAGAAAAGCCAGCAAGTGCAAAACTGTTAATTTATTGATTCAATGAAAGGTTTTTTTTTTTTGAACAATCCCCAATACATGCAGTTCAGGGTTAAGTATCACATTTGTAGCACATTGTTGAGTCTCTACACAGAAGTACTCATCCCATCAGCTGTATAACCCATCACATCGCTTTCCCCAGCCTCCACAGCACCTGCTTGCAGTTGTTTCCATGAACACATCCATAGAACTCAAAAGTATGTATTATTACTGGTTTTCTTGGCCAGATGCTTCACCGCCACCTCCTCTCCCCAACTCCCACCCTGGGGTTAGTTATTAAAAGCAGGATGTTATGCCATCTCAGATTTATTAAACTCACTGATAAACTGTGGCTTCTCGTGTGCCCCCATGGACCCTGCTTTTGGAAGGGCTTAGATTTCAATGACCTTAACGCTGATCTGTTATTATCCAATCCCATTTATTTGTAGGAGGGAAGTTTGCTTTTTCCCATGGGTGCTCATGCAGTAACAGGTTTCTAAACAAATCGTGCAGTCTGAACTGGCATTAAGGGAAACTGCTGAGTGGGCTTAGAACCATTTCAATCATATATAAAAATTCTTCCAATTGCTGCTTGTGTTCCCCAAATAGTTTTTTTTTCCCCCAAATAGTTTTGCTTCCATCCTTAATACAGCACCTGGGAGAACCTAAGTTATTTCCCTGAGTAGGTGTGGACCAAGACCCAACGCCACCAGCTCTTTCTGGGACTCAGCATCTGCCCAAGGGCACCATCTTCCAGTCCCACCAGGATCAGTCCAGGGTGCCGTGCCCAACTCAGGACACAATTCCAGATCATGAACATGGTGCCCCCTAACTCTCTCAAGAAGTCATGCTCCCTCCTCAATATCTACCCTTTGACTGATTTTCTTACTGTTCCCTTTCTTATGACCACCTCCTCTGAGCCCCCAAGGATTAAGCTCTTCTGTCTTCTCCAGCCAAGCAGACTGAGCCTCTTCCTTCTCTGAAGGGAACACAGCAGCTTTGAGCCTGGTGAGCAGCGGTGTGCTAGAGAAGGTCTGTTAGACCTGGCACGTGGCCGGTGTGTAGGTGCCTTAGAGAGCCGCCATCGGCACTGCTCTCATTGGTGAGAAGACCCAGGAATGCTTGGTCTGCACTGTCCACTTGGCTTCTCCCACCCAGTCACCTCCTATAGGAATAGGACAGGGGTAGACAGCTGATATGATCCAGGGGAGAATGAACTGCAAGCAAACTGCAGATGAAAAGACCATGTGGCATTTCATCAGTTCTGCTCCTGCCATAGGGACCTGTCAGCTGAAACCAAGCCTTGTACTTATGCTTACTTGTGGCCCAGCAGCCCTGACAGACCAATCTGAATTTGGCAGGGGAACTTTTTGTTCTCACCATACCAGGCCTATGTTGTTGAACACAGGTGGAACCTGAGATGATAGTGTAACGCTACCCTGTTCCCCACAGTTTTTGCTTTTCTTTAGGAAATAACTAAGTCCTTATCATAGGCACTTTTAATTGGTTATAAGGTAACAAAGCAAATAGATGGCTAATCAAAATTACTGAGATGGATTTAAGAAATACTCTGCTGACCGAAAAGGATATTGGGTGGGTAAATCTACCATAGCTTAAGTCTAAAATATAGGAGCAGACTCCCACTCATTCACACATCCACCCACACACACATCCACCTACACCCTTCTCTCTCTCATCATCTTCCCCTGCCTCTTCCCCCAATTTTGGAACTCTCCATGGACCACCTCCTAACCCAGGTAAGTACTCTGAAATCTCGGGGAGCTACGGAATATCTGGAGATGGGTAAGAGAAAAGGTCTGGACTGGACTCACTTTAGTTTGGGAAAGAACAGCCTACAGCCAGCCAGCCAGATGTCAAGGCCAGACTCAGAAAGGGGTTAAACTCAGTTATGTCAAAAAAAAAAAAAAAACCCCAAAAACCAAAAAAACAAAACAAAAAAACTCAGTTATGTCGTCTAAGGTGGGAAGAGAAGTGAAAAATATAGGTGGTGGAAGAGTAACCCATGCATAAAAAGGAAGAATTACTCCCATGTCAGAGCCACAGTCACAGAGCCCCAGGATAGGCAGGTTAGCTCTGTCTGCACTGACTAAATTATGATCAACGGAGATAGGCAGAAGTACATCTGTACAATGGTAAGGACCCAAGTGTACTCTTCCAGATGCTTTCAACTGCCTCTTGGGAACCCAAGGGAAAGAAATGGGGTTTGTACTTCAACAAGACCCTTCAGGTACTCCCCATGCCTAGTTCAGACAGGCAACTTAAAAAAAAAAAAAAAAAAAGATTGGGGAGGGGAGAGAACGAGTGACAGAGGAGACGAAAGGCAGGGGGGCAAAAAAGACACAGTGGCACATCTCCCTGATAACTACCAACAGTGTTGCCTAGAAGGGCACATCAGAAAGCTGCTGCTGCCTGACAGGTCCAGCTGAGAGCTCATGTCTTGGCTTTGATTTTCAGGTAGAACAAATGCATACATTGACACAGAATGTGCAATACAGGCAGGTAGTACTGGTACGAGAACCTTAAATGAATGCATTTCCTGGCTTTGGGATTAGGATCTTTTTAAAAATTTTCAATCTGAAGTAAGAGTTTTCTCTGCATTTTAAATTCCCACCAACCAAACGACAAAAATACAATCTACATTTAGAGATAAGATAGGACCTGCTACCAATACCAGTATGATTTTATTGGAATATGGAATGTAAACAGATGTTTTCAAATGAACAATCTAACCTTATAAAAATGTATGGCATTATTAAATAGGTAATAAAGAAATCCTAAGGTATGATGTGGGTAGACACCTCAAGCTCTAGCCTAGCTGTAAAATCCCCACAGCTGTGGCATGGCTCTGCAACTGGGGGGAGGGGACTGCCTGCAAACCATACTGGTGACAAGTCCCCAAAATGAAATCAGCCCAACTTTTTACTTTTTAAAGCAGAATCTAGCTTCCTTTGCTAACCTGAAAGCTAGCACAATGGATCCCAAGCTCTGACACTTGCTCCAGGAGCTCCAACCCGCACCCCCCGGCCCTCCCTGACCCCAGGTCCCTCGTATGATGTTGCTCTGCTCAGCCGCCTAGGAGTGGGCCACCTTGCACATGCAACCCCAGTCCCTGCATGTGAAGAAGACAGCTCTGCCATCACATCCACTTATCACCTCTCAGAGCTTCAAGATGCAGATTACCCAAATCATAGAGGGAAACTGCTTCTCATGGGGATAAAGAGAGGCAAAAAGGGGTGGGGGCAGGGGACTACATTTTCCTTAACCAACAGGTCTTTCCTAAGTACACTCTAATAGGATATTTCCCTCACTCCCCAACCTGCCTGAAGACCAACTTTCCAGCTTTCATTACAGTTGTAACCAAAAAGTCTCTGTTTCAGAGAGGTGCATGAACATAGGTGCACAAACAGGGACGTATGTGCTAGGAAATGGTAAGGTTTTCCTTATAAGGCTGCTAAAGGAAAAAAAAGGCTACACAGAAAAAATAGCAACAAGATTTTATGGTTAGGCAAATCAACAAAGGTTACAGTGAGCTCCAAGTTATGCACTTCGCATTGAACTTTTGATGAGTCAGATGGACCTGTTCATGGCATCACAAGGTCTCAAGTGATGACTCCTGACATCAAAGGGGCCTCTTATGAGTGATTGCAGTTTGCTCCCAAATGAGTACACTTAGAAGAAAACTGCAGTGGTGAGGTACATTTCCTAGAGAGCTCATGTCATAAAAAAATACATAAAACATGAATTTGTAAAAGCTTAAAAAAAAATACTGTCACTGTTTTAATATCTCCTTTTCTTAAATGAGGCTGGTGTGTCAGTACAGACTGCTGACTTAGCTAAAACTTGAGCCTGAATCTCACCAAAGGAAACCCAGACCACAGTGGAATAGATAGGAAGTCAGATATTCAGAGCTTGTTGACTGAATGGGTTAATTTAACAGCAGTCTCCTGTTAAATAAAGGTAAATGTACAACAACTCCGAGTCTCTCATCTCCCATGCATTCCAAAGGGAGTGTTCCCTCAGATCCTGAACTATGTGCATCGTCACACTGCCACGATAGCAGCTCCCTGTAGACTAGTACTGGGGGATTTCTTTCTTTTTGACAGACATTTAGGTCTTTACTCTTCTTTGCATTTAGAAGGAATGACTAGAATTTCTTTTTATCACATTGTAGTTTTCCTTCAAGATTTGTGTTTGGTTGGTTGGTTTTATTGGCAAGCATCAATGCCTCATTACCCGTCGTCTTCCAAGTTTTCACCGGGCTGCCGTGAGGCCACTGGAAAGCACAGCATTGTCTGCACAAGGCTGGGACTGCTCCTTTACCACGGGGTCTGCAAGAAAACAGGATGGGAGTCAGCCAAGTCTGGGCTTGGAGGTGACAGAGACATCATCATGACAAATCCCCTTCCACAGTGGGACAGAGAGAGAGATGGACAGACTGACGGGAGAGCTGAGGCCAGAAGAGCGACAGAAATCACAGAACGAAGGTTGGAGAAAAATCAGACACTGAAAAATAACCGGGAATTTGCTCTTAGAGTCAACCCTTATACTTGCCTCAGAGGGCAAGTTCAACGACTGAGGCCCACACACACTGACTTCTCACAGCTCAAAATCACTACTAATCTTCCTGTGTGCTACTTTCCTTAGATACTATGTCAGATCCACCCCCAATTTCTTCAAATCATGTGCAGTAATGAGCACTTGGGAGCAAAGGAATGAAAAGAGCCAGCCATTAGAAGACCTATTAATTTTAAGCAACAGTTATTTGAAACATTTTTTTTTTTGACAGAAGATGTGTGTTCAGAAAAGTAGGCGGATCATGAATTACATATTACAAACACCAAAATTCTAAAATTCTTAATTCGATCTAACTCAAAGGTGAAAATAGCATCTTGTGCCAGAAATTGGAAAAAGGACCTCTGGGTTGTACTTGTTAGAGGTCTAGAAGGTAAAAAAAAAAAAAAAAAAAAAAAAAAAGAGGTCTAGAAGGCCAAAGGGTAAAACCTTTCCAATTTGCTGTCTACTAATGCTTATGGGCCAACAGCTTTAAAATTTGTATTCTTCAGGTAAGATGCGCTTAATCTCCAGAGGGGAAGAAAAGAAGGGTAGATAGCATACTGGCCAAGCAAGAGACAGGCTGAAGGTTTTCTTCTTGATCCAGAGAGTGGGCTGAGACTGGTCCTGTAACCTGTATCCCCTATCTCCTCTGTGCCTGGACTAAATAATCTCCTGTTGCCAACAATTAAGGGGAAAGTCTATCTGAGACAGACTTTATTGGGAGGGAGGGGCCAGGGAGCTGTACGCAGGCAGCCAAGAAGCAACCATGTGCACTGAATACATACATACATACATACAATACACACTCTGAAGTGAGACCTAAAAATTCTTTAACTCAGGTAGGATTTTAGTGAGGTCCTTCCATAGCTGCTTTCCTTTCTTCAGATTCCTTTTACTGAATTTAACTCATTTCCTTCTTTAAAAATATACTATGGTCATCTTATTACTTTTAACCAACTACTTTGTTTTTTGAGGGGAAAAAACATGCTTGATTAAGTTTCCACACAGATATATCCAAAAAACAAAGTTCAGATATTTGTGATCTCTCAACCCAGGGCCACAGGGAACGGTCTGCAGACCAGACTCAAGGGGAGCTATGGCAGTGGACAAGCAAACACCTCTGCAGATCAAGAAAAGGAACTGCAAGAGCTGTCTCAATAGTCCAGAATGAATGAGGCCAAATTCCAAGGATGATTCAATCCAAACACCTAGAATTCTCCTGACTGGCCTCAAAGATAAAGAACAGGAGACTTATTCCTTTAATAAATCAGGCCCCTGCAAATGGTCCCTGGAGACTCACAGAAGTAGGGATGCTCCATGGCCTCTTTGGCGGTCAGTCTCTGTTGATGGTCGTATCGCAGAAGTTTGTCCAGAAGATCTAGGGCCTCAGGGCTGACGAGGTGTCTGTTCTCACTATGGATAAAGTTTTCCCAGCGTTTCCGTGAATGTCTGAGGAGGAAAGGGAAGCATTGGTACTGAGATTCAATTCAACAAGAATCCAGACATTACCATGGTTAAAGCCAATAGAATCTTAGAACCCCAGGAGGATTATAAACTCATTAAATCTCATTCTCACAGGTGTCTGCCCCACCCTCCACAGGAGTATCTGAGGCATCCTGAAACAAAAACATGCTCTCTGATAAAATGAACTAAAGCTTCTACATCTGATTTAGAATTTGTGGCACCTTCCTAGATCATTTCTTACATCCTGAAACAAAAAACATGCTCTCTGATAAAATGAACTAAAGCTTCTACATCTGATTTAGAATTTGTGGCACCTTCCTAGATCATTTCTTATGCATCAGGCTTTTAGTCAATTCTGGTGAGGCACAGAGGTTGTGCAGCAAAAATATTTAGAGAGCTAGCCTTGGAAACAGAGGCTCCACAAAACACTGGGAACTGTCAATGCATTTACTTTTCAACACTAGTGCACTGTACCTGCAAATATGCTTTAAAATTTGCCACGTTGGGGGGATCCCCGGGTGGCTCAGCGGTTTGGCGCCTGCCTTTGGCCCAGGGAGCGATCCTGGAGTCCCGGGATCGAGTCCCACATCAGGCTCCTGGTATGGAGCCTGCCTGCTTCTCCCTCTGCCTGTGTTCTCTGCCTCTCTCTCTCTCTATGTCTATCATGAATAAATATATAAAATCTTAAAAAATAAAATAAAATTTGCCACCTTATAGAAAATCCATTCAATAGAACAAGAAAAAAACTATAAATCTCTTCTTCAAAGAAGAATCACAGCTTTCTAAGATTTTCCATTAAAATAAGCATACACTGTCCTGCAGAGCCTTTCACTGTAACAGGATTTTGTCTTCTCTTTTCTATGGACTGACAGGTTATCTCTTGGAGAAGTACAACGATCAGAAGACACATGTAAACAATGCCCAAACCTCAAAACAAGTTTTAAAAAGCACACATGAGAAAAAAGAAGGGTATTTTCAACTTTGCTATGATTAGCAAGTGATTTCGGCGAATATTCCCTCTTCTGAAATGGGTTTAGTTAAAACCCTCGTTCTCTCTTCCTCTCTCTTACTTACTGTCCCAGGATATCGTTGAAGTGCGGATCTAGGTCTATGTGATACTTCTTCAGATACCCATACAGCTCATCTGTACCCAGAACCTTGGCAATGCGAACAAGCTGAAACACAAAACAAACTGACCAAATTACTGAGCACAGAGCTCACCGCAAGCCTGTGAGGATGCTATCTCAAGAAATGAGAGGACTTCTCCATCACTGAATCTCCAGGGACCAGAGGCAGATTGGAGCCCGGGGCTGACAGGAGGCAGACCAAAGGCCAATGATATTCACAGAAAGCAAATTTCCAAACTCCCTTTAAAATGGTAATAACTTATGACAATAATCTTCCAGAAGCTGACAATTACGGGGGCATCACAATCTAATGACTAGAAGCTAGTTTTGTTAGACAAGGTGTGTCTGACTTCTTCACAGACTCACTGTGGGGCATACGTGGAGCTTAATAAGATAGCTTTATCTGGCTCTATGTTTGGGGACCTGGTAACCACAGACAAAATCTCATGAAGCTCTTTACCCTGAAGGAGAACTTAAGTGCAGACACTGAGTGGCTCAAGGATAGCATCCCTGTCAACAGACTCCCATTTCCTTGGCATGTGCCCCCACATGGGGAAGAGCCAGTTAGTGTTTGCTCACCTGGTCATAGTTGTCCTGTCCGTGAAAGAAGGGCTCCTTTCGAAAGATCATGCTTGCTAACATACAGCCCAAACTCCACATGTCCAAGCTGTAATCATACATCTGGGGAAACAAGGTCAGCCTGTTAGTGAAAGGTGTTGCTAATGTATTTCTTTGATCTGGATTTCTAGTCTTCAGTTGACCTTTGCACATATTTTATAATTCAAAGAAAAAAAAAAGTCACTGAGAAAAATCTGAAATGACTGCTTCAGGCTGGGGTTTTGAATGTATCCAAACTGACTTAATAAACAGCACCCGAGCAGAAGCCCTAAGGAAACACACAAAGGAGGCGTGAGTTGTACCTGATAATCCACAAGGAGCTCCGGGCCCTTGAAGTACCTCGATGCTACACGGACATTGTATTCCTGAGCAGGGTGGTAAAACTCTGCCAGACCCCAGTCTATGAGCCGCAGCTACAAACAACAGAAATCAAACCCGTAAAGGAGTGTTTCTAGACGCCTGTGCCTTAGAAAAAGGCCACATCACGTTAGCTGACAATACGTGTGCTACATAACAAATGTTAGCCAGTGCACTGGCAAAAATTACCCTTTCAGCAACTGTGGAAGAGGTCACCTCTAGAGTAGAGCTCTCAGAATCTTATTTGCTTTTTTTTTTTAATTTAAATTATCCTGGCTTATCATTCTCTTCCCATCAATCAAGCTTAAACTTTTTACTCTGCCTCTGTTTTACTTGCATATAACACATTCCCCCATTATTAACAGCTCCCATCATAAGCTAAAGCCACAACAGAAAGGGTTGGAGACCCAGGCCCCACCCCAGGATTGAAGCATTGCTCCAGCTTTTTATTAATCACACAGTAGTGGAATCACTTACTCACCAATCAGGGACAACCAGAATTGGATATGAAAAACAGGAGGGACCCAAGTGTAAAGGCTAGGCAGACTGGTCTAAGGGTCATTAAAAGAAGTACAAACCATCTGCTGGAGTTTCTTTGCGAGGCTCTCTGGAAAACCATGACCAAAATAAACAAGGGACTACAGATAGGCTCACGGGTCTCCTTTCCTTGTGTACCATGCTCATGCAGAGCAGAAAGCAACACTGGAGACTGGAGAAATAACAGTAACACAAGTCTGCCAAAGAAAACAGTACTGGTTTGCAGTCCCTCCTAGGTCAATACCTAGAGTTGTGGTCTGCCCTAGACCTTCTAAGAAAAGCCTTGTTGCTGCCTGGCTGCAACGGTACCTTTTTCTGTTGGTGATCTATCATGACATTGTGAGGTTTCACATCCCTGTGCATGATTCCCTTGCTGTGGCAGTAATCCAGAGCCTATTAGATAAGAAAGGACAGAGAAAAGTAAGCACACTGTCTACCAACCTCCCAACGCAAGCATATTATTTGTGACAGCTTCATGTGAATACAATCTCCCAAGGGGCAGCTTACTGCTGCGACAGAGGACAATAATCATGCCTCAGATGGTACCCCTAGCGCTCTGTGCACACTATGCTGGCAGCCGGCAGAAAAGGGGCTGCGTTAAGGAGGGAAGATAGGAGACACTCCTCTGGACACTCTTGCTACTTGCAGTTAGTAAGTAACACTTTACCAGTAACTTTGACTTAGGAATCATACATTAATCTATTGGTCTAACTCAAAGGGTTTAAAACCAGACCTGGGAAACTCACTAGAGTCCCCTCTCATAGTGATTCAAATGGGAATGACAAACTGTGACATTTGACATGGTTTGTCTTCTAGACAAGTGCCCACTGTGGACTTTTGGGATTAACAAGTATTCTAGTATTAGTATTTTCTTTTACAAATAATCCTTAAGCCACCTGGCCTTTAAGGATTCTATTTTTCCTCTAAGGGAAGATATTGCTTCCTATAAGATAGAGGATATACAGGTAAGATTTTAAGTGTATAAGCCAATGATTTTTTTGAGCACATTCATAAAATTGTGCGACTGGCACCACAATCCAGTCTTGAAACTCCTGCCATCATCCCCAAAATTCCCCAGCAGCTTGCCTGGGATTGGTCACCACTCCCATTTGCCCCCTACCTCAGCAGTAACCACAAACTTGCCATTGCTACTGATCTGCCTTTTCTGGACAATTGTAAAGTGGAATGGTACAATATACAGTACTCTTTTTTTTTTTTAAAGATTTTATTTATTTACTCATAGAGAGAGAGAGAGAGGCAGAGTCACAGGCAGAGGGAGAAGCAGGCTCCATGCAGGGAGCCTGACGTGGAACTCGATCCCAGGTCTCTAGGATCACACCCTGGGCTGTAGGCGGCGCTAAACCCACTGCGCCACCGGGGCTGCCCAGTACTCTTATCTTCTTTCCCTCAGCATTATGTTGCTGAGATTCATCTGTGTTACGTTTTTCTTCCTGAGTAGCATTCCACTGTATGGATGTACTAGTTGATGGATATCTGGGCTGTTTCCAGTTTGGGGCTATTATGAATAAGGCTGCTTATGAATATTCATATACAGGCCTTTGAGAGGACACAGGCTTTCATTTCTCTCATGCAGATTCCTGAGGGTGGAAGTGCTGAGTTTTATGTTAGTTTACATCAAACTTTTTAAGAGTCTGCCTAATTGTTCTCCAAAGTGCCTGCTCCAGTTTACATTCCCACTGGTAATGTATGAAGGTTCAGTTTCTCCACATCCTCGTCAACACTTGTCACTGCTTCATCTTTGTGATTATTGTCGTTCTGGCTGGTCTGAAGTGGGATCTCATGTGGATTTGAATTATATTTCCTTACTCAGGGATCAGGTTGACATCTTTTTGGGTGTTAGTGGTCATGCTGTATCTTCTCTGGATAAATACTGATTCAAATCTTTTACTCATTGTTTCTTTGGGTGGTTTTAGAGAATACAAAAATTTCCTTCTATTTCTCCTTTTTTGAACACAGTAACTATTCCCATAAATTTTAAATTATGCCCTATGGCTTGTCTTAAAAAGCACTGAAGCCTACCTGAGTGCCATGATTTTCTTCTTGAGTAACAAAACAGCAACCCACCATCTTGTGGTTCCTACTATGTGCTTGGCACTGAGTGGTTTTAGGGGAGTTTTCCACAGGACAAGATCAGGGTTTTTCAACCTCAGCTGTGCTGATATTTTGGACCAGATAATTCTTTGCTGTGGGGAGCTGCAGGATGTTTAAAAGAATCCCTGGGCTCTTCTCACCAGATGCCAGCTGCACTCCTCCAAATTGTGACAACCAAAAATGGTTCCAGATTTTGTCAATTTGACTTGGTTGAAAACCACTGGACTGGGTCCAAGAACGATCCCCAAGATCAGCAAATCCAGGAATAAACAAATTTTGCTTTTCCCCAGACACAAAAAAGTAAACAGTGCGCGATGCTTTTTATATGAAGGTAAAAAACATGCAAAACTAAACTGGTGGTAGAACTGAGAATATTATCTTCAGAAAAGGAGATCCGGAAGAGAAGGGGCACAGGACAGCCTTCTGGGGTACTCTTTTTTCTCTGCCAGCCCTGTCCAACAGAACTTTCAGTGATGATAGAAATATTCTATATCTGCACTGTCCAATATGGTAGCCACTAGCCACATGAGGCCACTGCACATCTGAAATGTGGCTACTGTGATAAAGGAAAGGAATTTCAAATTTTTTTAAAAAATTTATTTATTTATGATAGTCACAGAGAGAGAGAGAGAGAGAGAGAGAGAGAGAGAGGCAGAGACATAGGCAGAGGGAGAAGCAGGTTCCATGCACCGGGAGCCCGATATGGGATTTGATCCCGGGTCTCCAGGATCGCGCCCTGGGTCAAAGGCAGGCGCCAAACCGCTGCGCCACCCAGGGATCCCGGAATTTCAAATTTTAATTAAAACTTAAATAGCTGCCTGTGGGCAACAGCTACTGTACTGGACAGCATAGTACTACATAGATCTGGGTGAAGGTTCCACTTATGTAAAAACCCAAAATCCTGTACACTTAAGATTTATTCATTTATGAAAGTTCTACTTCAATGTAATTTTTCTCTGTTTTGTTTTGCAACAACAGGTGTGTAGCAAGATTCCACAACGGCTTTGTGGCAGTATCTTAGGAAACCAGGGCTCCTGAGGACAGAGTTCCCTGGATCTGAGCACAGGCACCCAACAACCACTTCACAGCCCTCTGCCTCAGTTTCTTCCACTTTTTCAGTGAAGCTGAAGATTTCCTCTTCCTCATCTAGTTCCCCCAAAGAGAAAATCTGGCAAGTGTCAATTCTGTTATTTTGCCTAGTCTTTGTCCAAAGGAATGAACTAATAAGGACCATAATACCTGGGGTGTGAGAAATACTTGAGCAGAGGCTGAACAAGTAGAGGAAGGGAATTAATTCTTGTGCCAAGTTCACTAGTCAGACTCCCTATGGAGTCACTGACATGCTTTTAAATTCCTTGGGGGAGCTATTTCACTTTCAAAATCTGGCATTACCTGATCATTAGGCATGAAAGACATTTTTCAAGCTTCGTCTGGGGTCCTATGCCTCATTAGCAGAAAGAATGTCCTTACTGCCTGCCTGGCCGCTACCTCCAGAAAGCAGAAGGGATATCAGACACAAAGGACTATCTGAATGACCAGCCTGTGGAGACTTGTGTCATCGGGATGTCTTTACTTGACCTAAGGACAACTGTGCAAGGTTATAAATCTTCATCTTTGGTGTGGTAAGTTAAAAACACAAAATCTTAACACCTTACTTAAAAATAACCGACTGTGAGATTTAGATTGCGGCTCTCATTGGGTGAATGCATGGGGTTCTCTGGAAAGCACCCTCAGGGAAGGAGCTAGCCTGACAGCTCACAAGACCACACCACCACTAATAACCTCTTCTCCACCAACATCTTTAATTCTGGCATGGAAAGGATATGCAGAAAGATGTAATACACCAAGTTCTACCTTCAAATGTTTCTGATCTTATTGACAAAAGAAAGACCCATTAGTTTTAAGAGTGGACTCTTAAATCTACCACCTTGGTACTAATGATAAGAGGTTTGTGTAAGTGCTTCTAAGAAAATACATTCACCGTACGGGGCTAGTTCTTCAAACTCCCATTCCCTAAAACTCAGCCTTAATTAAACTTGGGATTTTGCTCAAGTAATTGTTCACAATCCCATCCAATCTCCATCTTGGCAATTTTCTTCAATAATGCCAATAACTTAATCATCTCTATCTTTCAGAGGTTCTTAAACTGAGATCCCCACACCCCATAAAACTTTATGTAATACTGTGTATTTACATATGCATTTTTTTGGGGGGGGGAGTTTAAAAGTTCTCATTAGATTCTTAGTGATCCAGACTCAAAACAACTTAGGAGCCATTGGTTTATTCCAATTTACAAGCCTTTTTAGAATTCTTTACCTAAGTGTGTGTTTTTTTTTAAAATATTTTAATTATTTATTCATCACACACACACACACACACACACACACACACGTAGAGACATAGGCAGAGGGAGAAGCAGGCTCCATGTAGGGAGCCCAGTGTGGGACTTGATCCCAGGACTCCAGGATTGTGCCCTGGGCTGAAGGCAGGGGCTTAACCCCTGAGCTACCCAGGTGTCCCAGAATTCTTTACCTAAGTGTGTACCTAGACAAACTAAAAAAAGGTCATTCCTCCACCAACCAGTAATGCTTCAAAATTTCCATCTTGGGATTACTAAGTGTCCTAAAAGGGCCACCCATCACCTCTCCTTGCATGTCTAGGTCAGTCAGGGCTAGAGGATAGGCTGGGAAGGGGATTATGAGTGATGACAAGAGAAAGGAGATCCAAATGCCTGCCCACCCAGTATGCGTGTCCCTTTCTACTGGGACTTCAATGCTCTGGCCCATCAAAAAGTGAAGTCTACTTCCCCACCCTTTGAATCTAGGTTTGGCCAGGATCTGCTTTGGTCAACAGGGCATTAAGAGACATGACACAAGTAGACACTTGAAAAGCACTTACATATTTAACTTCACCCTCTCATACTACTAGAAACCCTGAGGCCACCACAGGAGGAAGTAGCTTAGACTACCCCCATAGAAAGAGCCTTCAGCTATTCCAGTTGCCATTCCAGATATGTGAATGAGGCCATTTGGGACCAATGTGTACCAGTCAAAAGACTCACCCAGCTAATCCCACAGAATTATGAGAAATAGTACATAATTTGTTAAAAATTGTTAAGTTCTGGGTGATCTGTTACACAGTAAAAATTGACAGAATTAAGCAAGCAGCAAAAAGAAAATCCGAAGGCCAACAAGAACTATGAAGAAGGAAGTTCTGATTTTTGGCATGTTCTTGGTATCTCCTGACTGTTCCACAGGAGTTTCTACGTAAAAATCCCACAACAGAGATCGCAATGGAAGTTAAAACAAAAACAAAAATAAACCCTCAGGGCACCTGGATGGCTCCGTCGGTGGAGCCTGTGACTCCAGATCTCAGGGTCATGATTTCAAGCCCCACGTTGGGTGTGGTGCCTACTAAAAAACAAAAAACAAAACAAAACAAAACAAAACAAAACCACCTCACTAAATTCTCTAAGTGTCAAGAGAGAACCTACCTGACTGAGTTCTCTTTGTCCTCTCAAAAACTTCTTGGGAAGTGGGAGGGAGGATGGAGTAACTGGGTGACAGGCATTGAGGAGGGCACCTGACGTGATGAGCACTGGGTGTTTGTTACATGTGACTGATAAACTACTGAACACTACATCTGAAACTAATGACGTGCTATGTGTTGGCTAACTGAAATCATAAAAAAAAAAAAGTCTCCTTTGATGAATACACCTGAAAAGATTCACTGCCTCTGAATGCCACTTACCTTAAGTAGCTCATACATATAAAACCGGATATCGAAGTCTGTCAGGATCTGGTAAAGTTGCTGAAACACATTTCAGATAGCAGAAAGTTAATTTAGTCTCATCATTTTGTCATCCCAAATATTGGCCATAATTCTCTGTAAACTTTACTGCTTAAGTCACTGAAGAACCCCAGGACTTTTTACCACCTGATCTGGAACAAATGAGACAAAGACCAAAGATGAGGGTGTAATACTTTAGTTTTTTTTTGTGTGTGGGGTGGGGTGTGTGTGGAATTCCAAGGGAGAGAAACACTTAATTCACTGTGGATCTTCTAAAAACTTGTTCAATGCTCCATCATTTCAACACCCTAAATTACATTATTATGGAGATAAAGCCCAAGTTGTCCAATTGTCCTCATATTCTTAGTATACTTCAAAGTAATCCACTGGAGCAGCAGTGTCTGTCAGAGAACTAAGTTCTGAGTGCAGAGCAGAACCTGAAGAACTTCATTGGCCCAGGTGGTAAAAAGTGGCAAGACAGTCCACCTGCTTTGGTTCTGGCAGATGGTAAGAGACTTAAGAAAGGAGTACGAGAGTGAGATGTTACAGGAAAAAAAGAATAGACATAGGCACTGAAAATGATTCCAGGTCAAAAGGACATGCAAACAGTTCTCATACTGGGACACAGACATACCCTTTAGGAGTTTTGTTTTTTTAATTTCAATTTCTAAGAGGCAGAGTAGCATTAATACATCCAGGTTCATTAGTCATCACAAACCTTCATCACAAACTATACTATTAAAAAAAAAAAAAAGAAACTATACTATTATTTTTAGTAATCAATTCCAGGTATATGTTTCCCCATCAGTCCAACGCAGCACCTTCTAGAAAATCAGTACACTTTTTAAAACATCCTTTGTTTCTTTACTGAAGACTCAGGCAGTAAGAGGGAAGCTCTCTAAGGAGCTCTGATCAGCATATATAATGTATCTGTGTAAGGAGGAAGTAAAACTACACATCCCAACGTGTTTGTATTTATAATGATATATGGACATTAATATGTGGGTGATTTTGTATATATGTGCGTGGGGGATGGACAGCTGGCACACGGGGAAATAAAGGAAATTTTTCATTGTATACCATTTTATATTCTAGATCCATGTAACTACATCACCTGTTCAGAAAGATGAACAATTTGCCAAATTTAACATCCTCTAAGAACACCAGGATTTAGCTTCCTCCTCAAATTTTCCATTGAGAAGAGTAATTCTCCCTCTGGCTTGGTAAGAGTATTTGATTTCTTCAACCTCAGGCAGCAGCCAGCACAGAGCATGAGAACGTGCGGATCAAACACCGGTGGTGCCTGGGAGCTGCCCTGCTATGGGAGGCTAACCTGGCTTAGGGGGAACTACACAGATGGCACTAGCACAGCACCACTCTGGCTCAGGAGTGGATTCAACTTCAGAACAGCCAAACACCCAAGTATTCTGTCCTCCAGCTTGGCTCCACATGGCAAGGAAGATTTCTCAGCCGGCATACCAACAACCCATATGTACAGACATGGGCTGAAGATACTATCTCTGGGTGTCAAATCAGCTCCTCCTCCGAGGATTAAGGACATCACTCCTAGACTGTGCCAAGTTTAACCTCAAGTCAATATACAGGCACATGACAGTGAAGCAAGCATTTCCTAACCCTCAGAAGGTTGGAATATTTTACCTACAGAGAACAAATATGCAGTATTTTATCATTTGGACTTTTATCTGTGGAAGGTTTTCCTCTCCTATCATGTGGTATCCATACCAGGCATCTGTGTAAATGGTGTTAAGACAGAACACAAAACGTCCTTGGATTGCCAATATAATATTTCTAGCTACTCCAACCAACCTCAATGTTATGTAATATAAAACACTAAATGAATACAGTGGTCAGGCCTAATACATTATGAAGTCCCAAATGATAGGCTGACATTCACTCCCATCTCTTAGGAGCTGTGGGAAGGAGACCAAACTACATCTAGAACATTTTACCTCCTGGGCCTAAAATTCAGGACTCGCCAAGGTCCACAGTCTGGCTTCGTCTACTTTTGTGGCTCTGTTCCCACTGTTGCCCCCAGGGGGTCTCCAACTCTGGCCAAATAAACCTGCTTGCCTCCTCTGTTCTTTCTTTTCCAGGGTCCCCACCTCTTTCCAAACCTAGAACACATCATCCCTCTCCCTTAGCCTGTTAAGTCAAGAGAGCTGACGGTGGTCCCCCTTCCTTATCTGAACTCTCTTGCTATTTACTGTCCTCGGGGGTGTCCCTGCAGTTAATGTTCCCCACTCAGGCACTTGGCTGTGTGCAACAAGAGGCCGCTCCACTCTGCCTGCATCCCAAGTCCCATGCTAGTGTCCTGGCACATCAGGCACACACCTCATGGGGAAAAAATAGGTGCTGTGGCTGGTGGTAGTCACCAGCTTACTAACTCAAGATCTTTGCTTTCCCTCCCTCAAGTATGGTAGGGGCCACCATACAACCTGGTCCATATTCTAAGTATTTGGGTAACACAAAAGCAGAGTAGCACATGCTGTATATATACCTCACCCATGAATAGCGGTACCCAGAAGGCAGTCGATAAATATTTGCCTTTGAAGATGTTCACGAGTCAATGGAACAAAATTAAAACTGTCTTCCAGGAAACACAAGTGTTAAGAGTCCATGACAAGTTATAAAGGGAAATTTCACAAGAACCACACTTTTCTTCCATTCTTCTTGGCCAGCTATGTGGAGAACATTGTTAACCAACCAACTGTGAAATGTTGGCAGGAAATTAGCTTTGCTTGTGTTTTCATGAAATAAGTGACTTATCAAAAACAAGCCTATGCTTCCCAGAAGATTACAAAGGTGCTGAGGAAGAAACCAATCATCAATCCTTGTTTGGTCTCAAAGCCTCAAACACACTGGCATTTTCTTAGAAACCAGGCCTACTCTAGGACTACCCAAAAGGCCCAAGGTGGAAATTTTCTGGGACTTTTTATTAATCTCAGAAAGTCTGAGGAGGACAATGGAAAAAAGGCAATCTGATCAATGGCCTCAGAACCTCTTTGGTCTCAAACTACCACCCAGAATGGAATGGCCTCACGTGGGCCTCGTTCTTGCTGTATACCTGTTGGTCCTCTGACTGCAGGTATATTTCAGCATACCAGTCAGCTATAGGTTCCTCAGGCCCCATCCCCGAGAACTCATTCAGGAGGACTACACACCTCAGCAAGCCATATGTGGGAATCACCAACACAGCTAACTCTCACCCTGCACACAGAGCTTGCAGATTCCCTTACACACACAGCTTGGTCTGTATCCAGAAATCCCAGTGGTCCCCACGTAGGGAGAAGAAAAACTGGGGGGGGAGTGGGATATAAAGTCAAAGATGCTTAATGTAGTTATCACCAGTTCTGGCATTAACACATAACCCCAAGATCCAGAATAAAATCAAGGTCAATATTTTTAGAAATTTAAGGAAGTAGAACAAATCATTAATCAAGCAAATCAAAGTTATTATTAATCACCCGAAAACATCTTAGAAGATCTCCACATCAAACTCAAACAGCATTAACAAGGCCTTAGGACATCAGCTAGTCAAGGCCCACCTGTATAGGAGGGATTCAGAAATTCTCCACAGAGCAACATGGGTCTACTATCTTCTCAAATGGACTCTACTCAGGGTACCTTATCAATCTTTAAAATGTCCAGATGATATACTTTGCTTAAAATGTCTATTCATTTTCATTTATACTCTTCCAAAGGGAAAGAAAACTAAGAAACTTTTTCTGCCATAAACTGTACATTAATTTCCCTGAGAAAATGTCAAGTTTGTGGAGTTTTCTATAACTGTTTATTCCAACTTTTAGAGACTGGCTTTTCCTATTCCTTTGTTTGGAAGTTTTGTCTTTTTTTTTTTTTTTTCTTTTTCTGAGTGTCACTATGTATCTGTTATGATCCCTTTGACACATACAAAGCATTAACTATTTCAAGGAGAAATTGACCAAATCAGTACCTCTACCATAAAATGCAGTATGAAGGGGAAAAACGATTAGGCCACAGAAGATCTGAACTAAATTAACAAGCTTGATGTAAAAAATGGCCATGCACTAAAGTCACAAAGCAATCGCCAACAAAGTCCAAATAACCAACATTATATAGTTCATGTTCCTCTAAACACAGTGCAGCCAAATTAGAAATTAACAACAAAAGACTATCTTTGTTAAAAAACCATGTGGATCCTTCCTCATATTATTCACAATTATACAGCTTCTATGAAGGACATTCCTAGGACTATTACTAGGAAACTCTTAAATATGGACTCTACTATATATCAGATAGCATTATCGTTTAAGTATTGAATTCCAAGTGTCCTAATAGTACTGGCAAGTAGGAAAAGGTCCTACTTAGTTCTAGTGCTAGCATATTTAGGAGTGAAGTATCAAGATGCCTACAACTTACTTTGAGATGATTTCAACAAAAAGATAAAGAAGGGAGGGTAAGGGAAGGAAGAGAACTGCAAATATGGTACATATTATCAACCAGTAAATCTAAGAGAAAAACATGAGAGTATTAATTGTCCTTCCAATTTTCAGTAGGTTTAAAAGATTTCAAAGTACATAGTTTGAGGAGAAAACCCCAAATTCATGAGTTTGGAATTTGTACAACTTTAAAATGAAGATTTTTTTAAAAAAATGAAGATTTATTTATTTGAGAAAGAGTATGTGTGCATGCAAGCCCATTCGTGCAGGTGGAGTTGCAGAGGGAGAGGGGAAAGAAACAAGTAGATACCACACTGAGCGAGGGGCCCACAGGGCTCAATCCCACAACTCTGAGATCATGACCCGAGCTGAAACCAAGAGTTTAATGCTCAACTGACTGATTCGGGTGCCCCTGGAAATTTAATGTTTGATTTGAAACCTATACAGAAGTGAATTTCATAAGCACAGAATGTAGCTAAGATGGTCCTTGGAGTAAGCACAGATTTAAAGCCCACTTACCATTAATCAAGAAAGACATAAACACTTGAAATGAGCAGACTTCGACTCAAGAAGTTAGGGGGAAAACAATGAAAACCCAAGAAAGAAAAGAGTTAAAAGGAACAAAGAAGGGAGGAAGAAAGAAAATAGAAGGAAATAGAAAAAACAAAAACATTTAATTAATAAAACCAAAAGTTATAAGGGAAAGGAGGGGAACTGAGTGGGGAAAAATGAGAGAGGGAGACAAACCATGAAAGACCCCTAACTCTGGGAAACAAATGGTTGCAGAAAGGGAGGTGGGTAGGGGGATGGGGTAGCTGGGTGACAGGCACTGAGGAGGGCACTTGATGGGATGAGCACTGGGTGTTATACTCTAAGTTGGCAAACTGAATTTAAATTAAAAAAAATTAAGAAAAAAAAACAAACCCAAAAGCTGTTTCTTTGAAACTACTATTGAGATCTCTAGCAACACTGGTAATTTTTAAAAAGAGAGAAAAGGTACAAATAATGTTAAAAATGTAAAGAAAGAGGTGCCTGGGTGGTTCAATCGGTTAAACATTTGTCTTCAGCTCAGGTCATGTCCCAGGGTCCTGGGATCGAGCCCCGCATCAGGCTCCCTGCTTAGCAGGAAGTCGTCTCCCTCTCAGTCTTCCTCTGTGCTCTGTCAAATAAACAAAATCTTTAAAAGAAAACGTAATTACAAACATATTAAAGTCTCTGAGCCCTAAGAGAATTCTATTAACAGCTTTAAGTAAGATTGAAAGTGAACAACTTTAGGGGTACTTGGGTGGCTCAGTGGGTTAAGCATCTGCCTTTAGCTCAGGTCATAATCCCAGGGTCCTGGGATTGAGCTCCACATCAGGGATCCCAGCTCAGCAGAGAGTCTGCTTTTCCCTCTCCCTCTTCTCTAACTCATGCTCTCTCAAATAAATAAAAAAAATCTTAAATAAGAAAAAAAGTGGACAACTTTAGAAATAGATACCATCCAAAAAGACTCAAGAAGAGACAGAAAACCAGAATAAACCTTTCATTTATATGTGTGTACATTCTGAAAAGGATAGTCCAAAGTCTCCCTTCCCTCCCTAAAGATATCTAGATAATCCCTATTTCATATAAAGTTTCAGAGAACAGCAAGGAAAAGCTGCCCATTAAACCCATAAAACTATTAAACCAGGGACAAACTACCTCTGGGTGATACCTTAAATCCAGGTACTAATACAAAGAACAATAAAATGAATAGTAAAAATAAAAAACAAGCTTTTCTAATAAGATACAGGACAAAATAAAAACCGTGAAGGACATGAGGACATTAAACTAGCTGATTTCTCTATTTGTGGCCCGTCATACTACCTGAAGAAAATGATAGTCTTACCATGATTTGCTCTTCCAAAACACATCTGCTGATACTGAACAATCTAAGTTGACTAAAATGGCAGGGCTTGACCACGCATAGGAACCCTTTGGCGTGACATGGGAGACCAAACTCATCCTACCCTCTGCTTCTTCCTCAAGTTCATCTCAGGCAACAATAAAAGGAGTGGGGCTTGGCGGGGATGTGGAGATTCACTCACAATAACTAAGAGAATGGAAGAGACAATGACTTTTTTTTTTTTAAAAGATTTCATTTCTTTATTCATGAGAACACACACATACACGGGGGGGGGGGGGTGGGTGGGTAGGGCAGAGACACAGGCAGAGGGAGAAGCAGGTACCATGCAGGGAGCCCAACGCGGAACTCTATCTTGGGTCTCCAGGATCACGCCCTGGGTGCTAAACCACTGAGGTGCTAAACCACTGAGCCACTCGGGCTGCCCTACAATGACATTTTGAAGCTAGATCAAAATGTCCAACTGACACAGCAGACCAAAAGAGCAGAGGGAGTCCAGAACCAGACAACCTCACATGGAAGAACCATAGGAAGGCCCAGGAATCAGTGACCCTGGGTATCAATGAAAGAGTAAACAGATTCAGCTGAAAACAGGAAAATAGGCTTAAAACCACCACACTGAAAATGGGGAATTATGAGAAAGTATGTGTAACATTCCCCATAGCGCCCCCCTGCTGGAGGCCAGGAGGCCCATAGCCAGGCTTGCAAGCTCTACACAGGAGCTGACAAGCAGTCATCAGTAATTTCATGACTCTATAAGAGTAGACAGTCAAAAACCATGACATATCAGACAAGTGTGACAGAGACAAAAAACAAGAACACACAAAAAAGGAATTTAAGAAATTGAAGAAAACATCATTGGGGGGGGAGCCCACACATTCTCAGTGAAAAAATAGAAATTACATCAAAGAACAGGATACTACCTTTAAAAGTTCAGAGAACAGAACAGAGCTGAGAGATGAAATCTAACATTTGAAGGACTTCTAGAAAGCGAGAACGAAGAAAGGAAGGAAATCAAAGAATGTTAAAAATATTCTTTCAAAATAGAAGGACATGAATTTCTAGATTGAAAAGGCCCAGCAAGTGTCCAGAACAAAAGATAAAAGTGACCCATTCGAAGGAACATCATTGTGAAATTTCACAGACTGTGACTGAAGAGAAAATCCTAAAAGCTTTCGAAAGAAAAAACCAAAAGCAAAATCAGATCACGTAAGGTGAAGTCAGAATGGCTTCAGTGGTAATACTGGAAAAAGCTCTTCAAAATTTTGAGAAAATTATTAGTTACAATCCAGAATTCTATGCCACGGCCAGTATGTTAACTGGAAAGATAAAATAAAAATGTTTTCAGATATGCATGGCTCAAAAACATTAATTTTCCATGACCTCTTTAAAGGAAGCGCCTAGAGAAGAATGTGTGCCATTAAGGCATTCCTTTGAGAGCTAAGATGTATTAGAAGTAAGATTTGTCCAGGGAGTTAAAAATTCCTGCTGAACTGTTGCCTGCTGTTACATCATCAGGATACCCATCAATTTAAGAAATACAAAATGCTGAAGTGAAAATTTTATATGTGTGGCCAGACAACTGGTAAAAATTCATTAAGGAGGCAAGAGCATGGGTGCCTGGGTGGCTCAGTGGTTGAGCATCTGCCTTTGGCTCAGGTCGTGATTCCGGGGTTCTGGGATCCAGTCCCACATCAGGCTCCCTGCATGGAGCCTGCTTCTCCCTCTGCCTATGTCTCTGCCTCTCTCTCTGTGTCTCTCATGAATAAATAAAATCTTAAAAAAAAAACCAAAAAAACAAAAAAGGAGGGCAGCCGGGTGGCTCCGTGGTTTAGTGCTGCCTTCAGCCCAGGACGTGATCCTAGAGACCTGGGATCGAGTCCCGTGTTGGGCTTCCTGCATGGAGCCTGTTTCTCTGCCTCTCTCTCTCTGTCTCTCTCATGAAAAAATAAATAAAAAAATCTTTAAAAATAAAAAAAATTTAAAAAAAAGAAAAAAGAAAAAAGGAGGCAGGAGCATTTAAAACTCAGGCATTTCTCCAAGTTTCATTAAGGCCAGCTTTTAAACTTTTGGCATTTAGGAAAATGTTTGGTTTCATTAAGAAATACACATTCCCACTCATGTATCTACACCTTGATACATTGGGTCATTAGTTGCAAAAGTGGGATCAGATGTTTGTATCAGTACTAGCTAAGCACTGCTAGGCTGATGAAAAAACATTTATGTTCTACTGCTATGAGCTCACTATTAACTTCACCTTTGAGACACATTAACAAGGAAAGTTGTTATATATCGAAAAACTGTACTGTATATAAAATTTGCTTGTTTCATAAATTGTAATATCTGTGTTTACTTATTTTCTACTAATAAACCTTAGTGTTGTTTTTAGAGTGGTTACCTGAGAAATATTAAAGGTGAGATGAAGCTCTTTTATTTCTATCCCAAAGTTTCACTCTCAATACTAGCATCTTTCAACTACAGATTTGGTTTTGGCCCTAACTTCCATCACAACAAAATCACATGCCTTTTATTCACTGACAGAGTATTATCACCTAAAAGGTCTCACAACTCTTCTCAAAGTCAACACCACAATTGTTTTTATATTGGTTTTCTTTTTTTAAAAATATTTTATTTAAATTCAATTTGCCAACCTATACTAGAACACCCAGAGCTCACCCCATCGAGCGCCCTCCGTACTGTTCATACTGGTTTTCATATATTATTATGCTCTACCAAGTCCAGGATGCCTGGCCCCAGAGACCTTACCAGAAGTTAAGGTTGTAGTGTCTGAACAATACAAACTCATGAAAAACCAGCTTAAAACCATCCTTTTAGAAGCATATTTTAAATCTAAATTAATATGGATTAATTTATAATGCATTTATAAGAAATGTAAATACCTAGGATAGGGCTTTTCTAAAGTACAGTGACACTTAACTAGCTCTTCAGTGTCCCTTGCTTTGTTTAGTGTTAATAGACACACACACACTCATAGCTTGAATCCCATGTGCTGTTTCTTTTCACACAGGCCCTGTATCCCTTTATTGCTTCCTATCAGCAATGGAAGATTCCTATGCAAATCAAGTATCTGCCTAAAACTATGTTGTCTAAAACAGGAATGTTACAGATGAGGCATTAGTTTAGACCCAGCCCAGTAGTTATTCCTCAGGTAAGCAAGGCAAAGGGTGATGAGTAATTTCACCAAATACAAGAACCCAACCCACTTTCTTCATCCTATACTCATGCTGTAAGGAATCCGATCTGTTGCTTCCCACTCTCACCAATGATTTTTCCTGGCCCCCTCCTGTTCTGTACTATCACCACCTGCCCATCCCCCAATTAACCCATGCCAGAAAGAAAAAGCATATACGCACCTTAAAATCTGTATTATTGATATATTCAAATACCAAAGCTGGTGTCTTTGACTGCAAGAGAGAATAGTAATGCCTTATAAGTATTCAAACAATAAAGTCCTTTGCCTCTGTTGTACCAATCCATCCCCAATCCCACTTAAATGAAAAAGGGATATACTCATCTTGGAGAGCCTATTAAGCATCTTCTCAAGACTAGGTGACTGGAATTTGCTTTCAAATAAGTGGGGATGGCAGTGGTGGGAAAATGGGTGATAGGGAGAGGAAACAAATTTGGCAACAAGTTGAGGCACTGCTAAAGTTGAGTGATGTGTGCAGGGAGGTTCATTATATCATTCACTTTACTTCTGTAAATGGTTGACATTTTTCACAAGTGTTTTTTGTTTTGTTTTGAAGGAAATGTATTCTCTGACTAACCTGTCAGTGGGCCTGGCACATTATGTGCAGATTTATACTCTGCAGTGTTCCAGTCTGCCAACCACAAAAGGAGTGACATGTTTTCACCTTGGTTTAGCAAGCCAGATGCATTTTATAAAATTATCATAGGTCTTGGGAATCTATCAGAGGCCTTTTCAGGATCCAAAAGGAAAATATCTATGATTATCAGTAAGCTATAATGTGAAATTATTGCCTTGGCTAGACACCCCTAGAGAATGTCTCAATTTACAAAGTAGATATGTTCCCACCCCACCAAAATCATACATAACCAACTATTTCTAAAGTGCTACAATCTTTAATGCAATGAGTACAAAATGTCCAATATTTATTTCCTTGTACAAATTTTTCAAATGTCAGATTTACTTAAGTAAGATAAAAATGCTCATTAGCAGTAATAAGCTTCCACAATTGGGGGAGAAGCAGGGGTTTAACAGGTCAGAGAAAGAAAATCACCTTGGAAATCTTTAAGGCTGGGAAGTTTTGCTCAAGGAAGCAGGTGAAAGTTACCTAGTTAACAGGCCACAGTACATGCACACCGGTCTTTGTCAGAACAAGCAGCAGTAGCGGCAGCCCCGGTCAAAGGGTTCCTCACTAGCCTAAAGGTGACAGGATTTCAAGACCACCAGATCGCTCTACTGCCTGGGAGCAAGCCCATTTCCTTAAGTTTTGGGGATGAGGGCTCCCCACACCTTGGTTTTCATCCACGGATTTACTTGTGTTATATAGTCTATAAAACACACACATGCCTAAGGCAACAAATTACAGTATCAGTTAAGACAAGTTATCACTTAAGTCCTATTAACTTAAAAAAAAAAAAAGGCAAAATGAAGAGGCTCCTCATCCAACAATAGTATGTACTGGCTCACACTGCAGGCCAATTTCAAAGATTATGGAGTCCAGAGCTAGTCACTCTAAATAAAGTCAATCTGAGCTGATCAGGCTGATATATTTTTAATGCCAATTAGCTAGAATCTAACATATAACCATTCTTCTCAGTCTTATTCTTCAATTTGATGATACTGTACAATCTTGAACAAATTATTGAACCTTCATAGCCTTCAGTTTTCTTATCTGTACAGTATCACATTTTGGCCAACAACAGTACCTACTCCAGTGGATTGCTGAGGATGGTTGTGAGGTCCACAACAGGGCCTGTACATAGTAAACTTTCAATGCATGTTAGCTAGCACATCGTTTCTTTAGAACGTCTTCAGCAGACAGAATCAAAGACCTACCTCTTACACAAAAAGCTATCATGGGAGGACAGGAAAGCAGGTGAGGTAGAACAGGTGAAGGACAGAAATGGGATGGGAGGTGGTACATAAAAACTTTAGCTAATCAGAAACATAAGGTTAAGTTACTCAAGAAGAGAAAACAAAACCAAACACACCTCAAATGGCTACAAAGTAAGCATTTTTAACAAAAACAGTTTAGTTGTATCAGTATATACAATGTGACACCATGAATTAAAGCCTAGTATGAGAAACAGCAAGATGCCTTCCTTAGTGGGTCAGTGGGGCTGTGATCTCTCTGCCAGGTATCCATGTGGAGATATTTGGTTATTTCCTTCTGTAAAGTCAGACTTTCAAGTGTCAGGCTTAAGTGAAGCAAAATAAGGCTAAGTGGCGATAATAAGCTTTCAAAATTGGGAGAAAAGTAGGGGCTTAAAGATGACGTTCAGCGAACATTTGTGGGCTGAATCAGAACGAGGTAATAAACTGGGGACAGGGATTTTTAGGTTCCATAAAAGTGGTGGTGGCTACTTTTATCACTGGGCCATCATGATTTTTTCTGGTTTCCAGAACTACTCAGGAATAAAGACAAACACAATCATTCCCACTATGTAATAATGTTGCTCATTATTTTGACATTCTGTGTCTTGCACACACATACTCACTCACTCATCCACTCTCTCCATCTTCCCCAACCACCAGGCACCTACCACAGGGTCCTTCACAGTGTCAATCAGCTTAATGATATTTGTTCCACCACGAAGGTTCTCCAGAATCTTAACCTCTCGTTTTATCTTCTTTTTCTTCACTGGCTTAAATACACAAGAGCAATTGGAAGTGAGATTCCTTTTGAAGTTAATAAATAAAACCTTAAAACAATGTCAGCTAATCAAGTGGATACTGCACTATCTTGCACACCGTGTTATGTTAGAATGTCTAAATCAGAAAAGAGAAATCAAGATAAAATGGGGCCTGTCCTTGAGAATGTTTGAGATTAAGTTAAATACAGACTCATGTAGCATATGTGTCAGATCTTTAGGTAGTTACATTTAGGACACTTACAAATTTTGAACACCCATGTCTTACTTTAAAAATAAAATGCTTTCTAGATAACTGCCAAATGGAATGTGCAGTTATAGCTCTGAACAGCTGTATATCATGCACTTGTGAATAGAAAAACTGAAACAAAATGGTGAGACACCTGCTCTTCCAATGAGTTACATGTAATTTTGTCTTCCAGGAGCAAAGACCAGTTCACTGACATCAAGTTACAAACTTGTTTCCCAGCTGCTGGCTCCTATTTCCTGTTGCCACTCCCATTTCCTCAACATCTAGAATCTGAAATCAGCACAGAGCCAGTAAACTACCCAACAGATCCCACTTCTAAAGAAAGAGATGATGGATCAGCAGAGGAGAAAACTGATCTCTGATACAGTACTGATTGGAAACTGCTACCTGCTAACCTCATCTGCTGGACAGAAAAACTAAAGCTCTCAGTCAGAAATACAAGCATTATATGTGCTATTTCTTGTCTTAAAGAATCTGAAGAATGTAAGTAATTCTGGAATAAGAGACACATCACAATCAGCTACGTTTGACAAAGCACTTAGAACATTTGATTGGCACATGGTAAGCACTTAATAAATGTGAGCTTTATTATTTTCATATTTTTAGTTAGTAATAAACCACTAAATTCCTATGTAGTGGACTCAGCCTAGTTGAACCATTTGCCCAAGGTCCCACAGCTGACAGTGAAGAGCAGGGGCACGATCTAGATCTAGACAATAACTTTGCAGCCTCCCTCTTGCCCATGGTGCTCTCACTTCCCAAGTGTGGCTATGAGAGAAAGGGAACTAAGGAAAAGGAGTATTCTATCACTGGGTACTAGACACTATTCTGATAGCATAGGCAAAGAGAGTCCAATGGGTTGGCAATGAAATAAGATTTGAAAAGCCTGCGTGCATGTGGTGGTGGGAGGGAAGAGATGTATACGTATGCCAGAGAAACTGTCATCTCTTGTTGGTCACTAAGCTACAGCTTTAAACAGTAATAAAACAGAGGGAGATTATGAAACACAGAGCACCTGCATCACCTCTAACTGGGTGCTTGACCGACTGGAATCTAGCTGTATTCTTCCAAGCCAGCTGCCACACTCATGTCCCCTCCACTTTGTCAGGGTTCCCAGGAGAGTAGATCTGGCTAATGTGTCTCTCTCCCAATTCCACTAAGGAATCATACCGATTCCCTTTTTTCATAATTAGGGAGCTCAATACTTTGGGGAAATAAATCACTCAAACATGAAGTACAACTTGATCAAAAAAACATCCAGAGAAGGACGTATTACAAAATAAGTAAGCTTTGAAAATGCCAGTCATGAAACAGATGAAACAACTGTTCCAGATTAAAAAGAAATGGCAACTGAATGTAACACATGACCTGGGATTTTCTTTTGCTATAAAGAACATCATATGGACAACTGGCAAATGAGAACAATGGCTGTAGAATAGTTAACAGCATTGTATCAATGTTGATTTCTGATTTTTTATTGTGGCACTGTGGGATTACATAAGAATTGTCCTTGTTTTTAGGAAATGTACACTACAGTAAAGATTACCGCGATTAATTCTCAAGCACATAATTATATATGTATATACATATATGTGTATTTATACATATATATAAGACAGAAACATTAAACAAATGTTAACATTTGAGAAATCTGAGTGAAAGATATATGGGAATTCTTGAAACTTTTCTTTAAATCTGAAATTATGTCACAAAGTTAAAAGAAAAATAAAAGCTGGCTATCGTATCTATTAAATTCAGACACTGCTACCAGTATATTCAATGTAAAAAAATTTGAGAGTTGTCATCCACTCCTGGAAAGCAGTTACAGATCTGAGACTGATCACACAGGAAAAAATACACCACAGTCAGAGATCTGTATACACTAAAACCCTTCCTCTCCCTCTAACAGTGAATTAGTAAGGGTAACCCATTAAATAAATTGCCTTTATGACAATGCCCCATATAAAGCCTTGCTTTGCTCTCCTGTAGTTAGTAACAGGTCACACAGGCACACTGTTCCTGGACAATGCCACTGAGATTAAGGTATCTTTCATTATGTCATAAGGTAACTTATGAAGCAAGTGAGCATATTTTGCTGCCCAACTGTCACCTGTCCAACAACTTTCTCAGAGACTGCGACAGCAGGGCCATTCTGAACTGGCACAATGGTCTCACAGAGTACCTGAAGTCCTTACATCCTGACGAAAGACCCAGAGCTTGTAAAAAAGGAAAGTGACCAATGGCCCAGGACACCCCTCCAAAGCATGGACATCTATTCTCTACAGGAACCAGGTTACAGGTAACTAACTCCCTTTAGCCTCAAGCTTGTTTCTCTGAACCTGGGAGATGCCCCAGAAGCTAAAAAAAACCAATGAGCTCCCAGGGAATTGAAAGTAATCATTTTAAGGTTGTAAACAGAATGGGAAACTGTTAGAAATTCTGAAGGAAGACCCTTGGCATCCTATGGAAAATAGATCATGGATTTTACAAAAATATTCTGCTTTACACCTGTAGCCCAGTGTCTGCCTTCATCTACCCACAGCTACATGGAGAAAATGCTCACTTCCATCACAGTCTCATCATTTCATCCTGCTAGACAAAGTCTCTCCCACCTAAGGTTAATTTACTCCAATTGAGAGAATATCTGGTTAAAAGATTCGAAATCCATCAGTTTAACGGCCTCCCAATCCCTTCACCATTTTGTTTTTTTACAAAGTCTAGTAGATAAAAAAATTTTTAAGAAATTAAAGTACTATATCAAGTTTCAATAATAAATGAATTCTGGCACACACCTAGAGGGAATGTTTAAAAGGAAAAAACTCAATTTGAAATTTTTTGTGCATGAGCTCAGGAAAGGAAGGAAAGGGAGGGAGGAAAGGAAAAAACAGGAGAGAAAGAGAAAGAAAAAGAGAAAGAGAGAGGGAGTAGAAGGAAGGAACTTTCTTAAAGGTTTCTGCCCACATGGTAGAGAGTCCCAGCTACTGAGGACAACCCTATTCAATGTAATCCAAGAGTAAGATACCACTTCTTTCTCCCTATTGATCAACATTGAAAAATTTAAAAGACAAATTTAGCAATGGGCTGCTTAGTTAATGAAGTCAGTGAGCTGTTCTATTTACTTACGGCTGATTTTAAAAAGCCAGATCTGAGCATGATTTCAACTGCTAACATTCAGTTGTGATTCAACTTGTGAACTAATGTATACACAGGCCATAAGAATTAGAACCTCAATAACTCCCAGCAAATGCTAATGGCAAGGTCTCATTTTAATTTTTTTCTAAGCACAACTGAATTAATAAATTCAAGACAAGTGGGAAGATAGCTCAGAACTTTCAAACCTGTAAATAACTTTTATTTCAGTGCCACAGCAACAACTGAGAGATTAATGTCATCACCTGCAGTAAACAATCACAATGAACACTGGCTGCCAGGGATGAAGAACAGAGTAAGGCAGAAAAGTTCAGCCTGGATGACAGCATTTGACTACCTTGGGAGCATCTCTCAAATCCCCTGCAACTGACCCAAATACAAACATCATCTGAGCAATGTTCTTTCTTTTTTTAAAGATCTTATTTATTTATTCATGAAAAACATGGAGAGAGATAGACAAACAGAGGGAGAAGCAGGGTCCCTGCAGGGAGCCCGATGGGGGACTCGATCCCAGGACCCCAGGATCACAACCTGAGCGAAAGGCAGAGAGGCCCAACTGCTAAGCCACCTAGGCATCCCTGAGCAATGTCATTTCTTCACAGCAACTTTTCCCTTAATCGTTCAAGTCCCATCTTTCCAATTATGTTATCAATCCTTGAGACTGGTTACTCTCAGAATCTTTGTGTTGTTTCTTCTTAATTTAAAAAAGGCATACATCAGGCCTTTTGAGTCTCATCAAGAGAATGGTATATAGTCCTTTCTGCTACTAGTCTTGCCCTGTGAAATCATTCACATGGCCCAACTGTAATATTATTAGAACAATGCTTTATTGCTAAGCGCTAGGCATAATTTTAGGCATATTTAATCCACTTTTAATAGTATTCTAAGAGGGCAGCCTGGGTGGCTCAGCAGTTTGGCACTGCCTTCAGCCCAGGGCGTGATCTTGGAGACCCAGGATCGAGTCCCACGTCGGGCTCCATGCATGGAGCCTGCGTCTCTGCCTCTGTTTCTCATGAATAAATAAATAAAATCTTTAAAAAAAAAAAATAGTACTCTGAGAGGAATACTACTGGCACGATTTTACATGAGGATACTGAGGCAGAGTTTAAGTAACTGCTCAAGGTCACAGAGCTTCTCAGTGTTGGGAATGAAGATCTGAATGCAGGCAGTCTACCTTCAGGGCCACTTTTGGGAAAGCAGCACTGTGTAGATCACTAAAACACTGTCATCTACCTACCCTCCCCAGATCTCATTTAATTCTCCTAACAATCCCGTGAGTTTCACACAAAACATTTATGCATTTTACAGGTAAGAAAATAGAATCAAGTAGGTATAAATGAGGAAGCTGGTTCTAGAACCCAAGTCTTCTTCTGACCTCCATTTACAACGTCTCTTAACTACTATATTAACCTCATCATGAGGTGGCAGATGCTAGAATAAGGCTCTACAAATTATCTAGAGCCATGCTGTACACATGAAAATGGGTACTCTATGTCAAGATTATTCTTTTTATACAAGGCTCACTCTCCAACAAACCCAAATATATTAAAGGGATAAAGCTGTTAGCCCCCAAATCTGGCAAGTCATCATAAGGAAACTGTATGTGTTAAAAAAGTATAAACACACTGGTTATGGTGGTTTCAAACCAAGAGAGCAAAGTAACATTTTTCATTTATGCATTAACCTCACTCTGTCTAGCAACCTTCAAGTCAAGCATTTAACTTCCAGAAGAATAACTCCCCCAAATCATTAGAAACAAATTCATTTGACTTCTAATGAGTGTTTATCCATCTTCCCAGTACAGTTCAACACCTCAAGAAGTCAAATATGCAGCAAAGGTCCTAATTGCTCCTGACATCTCTAAGACTCCATGATAGGGACAGAGGACCCTAGTGCTTCTACCCCCTAGCCACCTGATCCTGAGCAAACTGTATGCTCTGGGTCTCAGTTTATCTGCAACAAGGATTTGGGTTCTCTGCTCCTTATTTCGTGATTCTGTTTCACTGTACTCTCAAGCTCAGACCCTACAATCACAATACTGGGAGCAATACTGATTAGGGCCCCTCTGGGTGGCTTAATCATCTGGGTGGCCAACTCCTGGTTTCAGCTCAGGTCACGATCTCGAGCCCGAAGTCAGGCTCCGCACTCAGCATGGAGTCAGCTAGAGATTCCCTTTCTCCCTCTCCCTTTACCTCTCTACTTGCTCATGCTTGCTTACGCTAAGTAAAAAAACAAAACAAAACAAATCAACTTAAACCCTCATCACTGACTAGTTCTCACATAATTTTTTAAAAAATATTTTATTTATTCATGAGAGAGAGAGAGAGAGAGAGAGAGAAGCAGAGGCAGAGTGAGAAGCAGGCTCCCTGCTGGGAGCCCAATGCAGGACCCGATCCCAGGACCCCCAGATCACGACCTGAGCCAAAGGCAGACACTCAAACACTGAGCCATCCAGGCGTCCCTCTCACATAATTTTTAAAATTTATATACTTTTTGATGTTACAACACTTTAATAATACCATTTTAACTACTTTTTATCATATTGTGGGACTCAAAAATCACAAAAACTTTAGATAATACTAATGTCTTGCTTCAGGAAGATGTTTTGGTACACTTGCCTAACAAAGTATAGGAGGGCAAAAACCTACCCACCAGAGAAAGCAGAAATAAAGGAGCAAGCCCGCACCAGCATGGAGCAGACATCATTTTGATAGAACCCACTAGACAATCGTCTGCTCACTAGGAAACAACCCTACAAGATAGGTCATCGGTATGCCTCCCATTCTTCTAACACTACTGCCTCATAGCACAGAATTTTAGAAATATCTACAAATATGTTAAGCACACTTAAAAAGTAAACTTGTAGTAACACCATTCTTTGCATTAATCTTGAGATTTAACCTCTGGGGGAAAAATGGATTTGCCCAACTCTTTATTATTTTTTTTTAATTTTTTTTTTTATGATAGTCACACAGAGAGAGAGAGAGAGAGGCAGAGACACAGGCAGAGGGAGAAGCAGGCTCCATGCACCAGGAGCCCGACGTGGGATTCGATCCCAGGTCTCCAGGATCGCGCCCTGGGCCAAAGGCAGGCGCTAAACTGCTGCGCAACCCAGGGATCCCTGCCCAACTCTTTAAATAAGACTACCAACAGACTACCAACTTATTCTTTTATATGAAAATTTCCAAGTTGGTGCAGCATGGGTTTAAAACATCATGTTTATTTAAAAGTGGTATTGCTCCTAACTTCTATTTAGGAAATAGCAGTTTTAACTTGAAGAATCCCAAGAAGGGCTGAAATCCACACATAGATGGTGCCCACAAAATGCTACCAGTTGTCCAAAATGGAAAAGTGCTTTCATTTCTGCACATACCTTCCAATGAGGTACTAACAAGGGAACTGAGAAACGGATTTTTCAAAATCAAAAGATGAAACTTTCGGCATTTCAGGGGCTTTCTGCCCTCCAACGTTAACCCTTACCACCTACCCTCCTCCCTTTTCTCCTCAAAACAATTTCTGCCAAAAAAAATACATAACCTTCCTATTGATTGGAACATTTTAAGATTTTAACCTCAGGATTTCACTTCAAGAGATTTCTTGAAAATCATTTTGAATTGAATTCAGTATTTCTTGAATATCAATATCAATCTTGATTTCATATCAAGAAATTGTGCCCACCAAATTCTAAATCCCTAAAACCTCTTAAGAGCTCCAATATGTTTTGACCAAAAAAAACTAAAAAAATCTACTGATGCTAATTAAATGACAGAACTCCTCTTGGGCCATTCACCACCATCTGACCATCCTCATTTATTGGAAAGAACTGAAGGAAAACGTTATTGACCAAAAGGGAAGACATACCAGCCTCATGGAATATACCCTCTATCTTGGTCACCGTGTAGACATTAACATTCATTTCCTTCCTGCAGTTGAAGTACAGTAGGCCTTTTATGAAGAGGAAGTTTTCTCTAGATTCCTCTCAATTATGAGCAGCTGGTACTCTGTTAAGGACCTAATTTCCTATGACCAAACACCATTAACAGCAGATGACAGTTATAACTTCTCTGAGTAGGGGCACACACAACTTGGGATCAAGACCCTGTCCATTAAAAAAAAAAAAAAAAAGTAATTTTAATCTACTTTAATTCAGCCTGTGAAAATGAGACAACCACAATACCATCAGCAGTTTCTCACCCCATCCTTCAGCTAGAACAAAATCTGGGGAGAAATGCCACAGGGCTTTGAAAAAAAGAAAAGTGAAGGTGGTTTTCTTCAGCAGCAATGAGTTGGTTCAGGCTGCAGCCTGAAAAGAACTTGTATGGAAAAGATACGAGAAACACTTCATTAACTAGAGCTTCGAAGGAACCTCTCAAGTCTTATTCCAGAACACAGGAACTTATTTGGAACATCTTACAAACCAATGCTAAAATGGGGTCGGGGTGGGGGATGGGAAACAGGTGTTCTAGCTAAGGGTCATTTGGACATAGTGGTTATCAAGTAAGGTTTCCCGTGCCTAGGTTTCTTGTCTGTAAAAATAACCTTTGGCTTCCATGTTGGATTCCCTAAACATATCCAGTGAATCTTTAGAGGAATGATGCCATGAAGACCTCTACACAGAAGTCTAAAGAGCAATGCAATGTTCTCTTGCATGAACATACTCTCACTCATATACCTAAAGGCCATTCCTCCAAAAAAGACCACAGGAAGTTATACACTTATTCTAAAAATGTTGCTACGGCATAAAAGTTTAGTTATTTTTCTGAAATTGTTCTGGAGCCAGCAGTTCATTCTTTCAAAAGCACAGCCGTGGAATATGGATATTCCTAATTTCAATTTATGCCTTTGCTTACTTTGTGTCGGGCTCCACACAGGGAACCTGCTTCTCCCTCTGCCTATGTCTCTGCCTCTCTGTGTCTCTCATGAAAATCTTAAAAAACAACAACAAAAAAACAACAACAAACATTTATGCTTACTTATAAAGGAAAAAAAAGTCACACGGCTTCCCCAGGTAACTTCCCGGAAGGGAATGTTTTGTTAAATATTCATGCTTGTAAAGGGGGGAGGAAAAAAAGACCATGTGACTTTTCAGGTCCAATTCACATTTGGGGAAGAAGGGAGTCAAACTCCACATCTCCAGTATCAATTTCTCACTTCTCACCCCAGTGCCTCTGATGGCACAGATAACTCTGCCTATTTCTCTCTACTGCAACTCTGCTTCTTCATCACTAGGCTTGGATGGTACTGAGGAACAGAACAGAGCTGGTCACTTTTCTGAGAAGTGATTTTCAGACGGTGTAAGCCTGACCCTTCATACGAAACAGGGACACAGCTGCCTCAACTCTACCCTTAAAACACAAAAACAGTTTTTCAATATATCCTTTTTCACGGAGCCTCTGCAAATGGCCACACTGGAAATCTTGTATATGCAAAAGTGCTTATATTATTAATTATTATCATTTCACTAAATGACATGCACACACATTAAACGATCTGGCAACAATGGGGACCCTTCACAGACTAAGAATTACCCCCCTTTTTAAGTGCATCCTATAAAACATTATAAAGGAGAATTTAGCCAACTTACACTCATTATCATGTCTCTACTGAAGAGACAACAAAAGGTGTATCTTTATCAAAGTTAGGCTGCTAAATCAGACACTAAGATGGTTTGTTCCAATTATTAACTTTAGTGATTAGACATGTACTCTTCTACTGCTCCCAATTTCACTTTTTCTATTGGATAAGCATCGATGAACCTTCTGGCTACTACTGGTTCACTGTATCGACTGCATCTGACAAACTTTTACTGCCAAAGGATACGAAACAACTGATCATCCACTGAGGTGTTATGCAAGCTTCAAACCCATCTTTGAAGCTGCTCTAATTTTTTCCAACTTTCTTTCTGAAATAATTTTGAGCACCATGGGTAACAAACTCAGTGCTCAAGGAGCCCCTGAATTAATGGGATCTTCACGTAAAAGCTTTTCTTTCAACTGAACCCCATTTCTTTAATAACAAATGGGACTCCTTTGGAACCTTCGCTTTGGGAGCCCACAGTGACATTTCAGAACAAGTATGTTCCTGAACTATCATACTTAGATTTCAAACAGGTGTACATTCTTTCTTCAAAGTTCACAGGAAAATGGGTGGGAGAAGGAACAGTAAAGGGGCGTCAGAGAGAAGACGTGTAAAACGAAGAGCTTGCACTGCTCATCCTACAATGTGGCTGGAGTTTAGTCCTGACCAGTTAACAAAAATCTTAATGCCATTCATAAGAAACTCACCTTGAGAATTTTTACAACCACTCTCTCATTGTTGGTGATGTTAATGGCCTCAAATACTTCACTATACTTTCCCCGACCAAGTTTTCGAACCAGTTGGTAATCATCTTGATTACTGTGAAAGGCAAGAGTGACACATAAATGCCAGGACTTGGGATTAACCAAGCCTATGCCCATTCTACACCCCCATCCAGCCACTTCCATTAATCAAGGGTTGGAAGCGTCTATACATCACCACACAACTCACTCCCTAAGTGAAAGCCACAACATAAACTTGGCTCCTTTCACTGTGCGCACGGCTCCTAACCTAATTGGACCAGCACAACCTGGGGAGCAGAGGTAGGAAGGCAGGGCCCTGAGCCACTGCAGAAGGGTGAGCAAAGCATCCATCCTGGAGGCTCGGAGCGTGCCTCTCTGCCTGGGGCTCCACAGCAACTGCTTTAGACTTCACGTCCCAAAGGTGGCCAGCGCCTGCTTTGAGAACGTGGATGTCTTTAAAATATTTCCTCTCACCCGGGCTCATTTCAATAAACTAAAAAGGCGGAGAATTTTAATAGCTCCAGAGGACAGCTGCTGCCTGCCCACCCCAAACAGAAACCCAGAAGTGTAAGGAGGAAGGGCTGCTCCCTCATTTCCACCAGGCTCCAGTCCCTGGACCCTACACTTCCCAGTAAGAAGCATTCCTCGGGGTAAGGCGGAGAGAGGGGTGCGCAAGGCGGGGACAAGGGGGGGCGGCGAGGCCAGGGCTGTGCGGTGGGGGAGGGGGCCCTGCCTCCAGCAGCCGGGCGGCGGGGGCGGCCGGGCGCGGGACGGGGGGCGGCCGGGCGCGGGGGGGGCGGCGGCGGCTTTACCCCCAGCTCGGGACGTGAGCCTCATAGTCCCAGTACTCGCGGCTCCTCAGGCTGTTCACCTCGGCGTAGACCCGGGCCCTGCTGCCCGCGGCCGGGCCGGGCATGGCGGGCGGGACCGGGGGGCGCCGCGGGGCGCAGAGGGCGGCGGCGGCGGCGCGGCGGGGGGCGCGGGGCGGCGGGCGGAGGAGGCGGCGGGCCGCGGGGCGCCGGAGGAGGAGGAGGAGCGCGGCGGCGGGCGGCCACGCCAGGCCGGGCCCGCGGGGGCGGGCGGGCTGGGGGCGCGGGGGGCGCCGGCCGAGCCGGCCGGGCCCTGGAGCGGCCGGCGGGGCGGCGAGGCGGGCGGCGCTCGCGCTCCGCGGCGGCCTCCGCTCGGCTCGCGGCCCCGAGGCGGCGGCGGCGGCGGCGGCGGCGGCACCAGCAGCGACGGCTGCCGGCCGGGAAAGGGGCAGCGGCGGTGGCGAAGAAGGAGGAGGAGGAGGAGAAGGAGGAGGAGGAGGAGGAGGAGGAAACCCGGAAAAGGGGCCGCGCTCACTAGGAGCGGCCGCCGCCGGGCCCCGGGCCGCCCAGCCTCACAGCGCCCCCTGCAGCGCGGGGGGACCGGCGGGCCGCCCCGGCCCCGCCCCCCCGCCCGGCCCCGCCCCCTCCTGCCCGGCCCCCGGAGCCCCTTCCCTCCGCTGCCCTGCGGACCTGCGGCGCCGTGCGCCCTCCCCGGAGCCTGCCCACCCCCGCCCTTGAGCCCGGCCCCTCACGCCCCTTCAGGACTGTCCCGGCGACGCCGGCTCCGAGCCCTCCAGCCGTCCGCATGCCGACCCTTCCCGTCAACCAACCCGTCCTCATCAAGTCCCTCCCCCATGACTCACTCCTAACCACCGAGAGCATCCCCCACCTCAAGATTTTTCCCTCCGTCCCGGAGACGCCCCCTCTTTCTCCGATGGACCCTGCCCTGTCACCCAAGAATCCCTCAACCTCAAGACTTCCCCTTCTTTCTCCAACCAGACCCTTCCTCACAAATCCTTCTCTTGCACTCCCCCCTCATTCCCTCCCAGAGCCTTCCCCGAGAACCCTCTGAATGCTCACTGTGTCACTCGGTTAAGCAGGAGTGGGCCAGGGAGCTGGCTGCAAAGTTCCTATTTTTCTCTCTGTGATTAATAAGGGCAGTTCGTGGGGAGGCACGTTGAGACCATGTACCTGTCCTGCTGTTTGGGAGGACAGAAAGCAGGAGAATAGTAAGTCCTGCCTGAAGGGTTGGGGGAGGTGTTGGGCGTGGGTGGAGGGGGAGGTGGCCGACCAAACTTTGTCCTATTTTATGATGATGCTTTTTAGCCCCTGACACTCTTCTCTCTTTGATCTTCTGGGACTTTCTTTGCCTTGTTTTCCCATTCCACATCCTTTATCAACAGCATTTCCCACTCAGCTCAGGTTGCTCTGACTCCAGTCTTTTTTAAAAAAAAAATCTGTTTTCTAGGTGAGACCCTGCTTCTCCGTCCTGATATAGTTAAAAGCACAGACTGAAGTCAGATGCATCTGGGTTGAATCCTGGCTGTGTTGCTTATAAACTGTGTGACCTTGGGCCAATAACTTAGCCTCTCTGTGCTGCCATGTTTTATAGCATAAAAACAGTAATGGCCTTTTCACGGGACTATGGGGAGACAGGCAAGGTAAACCATGTAAAACACTTAAAGCAGTGTCTAGCAGTTACGAAGTGCACAGTATCATTATTGGCAGGCATAGAGCCTTTTTCCTATCACTTCTTCCTCCCTGAGGACACCTCATGTCCAGCTTTTGGTTCCTTCCACCCTCCAGGCTTGGCTGTGGCTGCCTCTTCTCCCTCCACCTCCATGTTCCCATGCTTGCCTTCTTTCTCCTCCTCCCTGAGTCCCACCTTTAAACTCACTTTATTTACTCGGATGTGGATTATATCTAGTTGTAAACATGGGATGGTGTGAGCTCAAAGTCCTTTTACTCTGCCACCTTCCCAAGATCTCTTTAAGTTCATTTTACTCTTTTCAAAAAAAATTTATTATTTTTTAGTGGATTTTTTATTTAGGGGCACCTACCTGGCTGGCTCAGTTGGAAGAGCATGCCATAATCTTAGGATTGTGAGTTCGAACCCCATGTTGGGTGTAGAGATTACAAAAAAGTTTTTTTAACCTTTTTAAAAAATAGATTTAGGGACTACAGAGTGGCTCAGCAGTTGAGCGCCTGCCTTCAGCAGCTCAGGGCACGATCCGGGGGTCTGGGGATCAAGACCCACATCTGGCTCCCTGTGAGGAGCCTGCTTTCTCTCTGAACTATGTATTTGACTCTTCTGTCTCTTTCTGTCTCTCATGAATAAATAAATAAAATATTTTAAAAAATAAACTTATTTATTTGAGGGGGAGTGGGAGAATCTTAAGCAGACTCCGGGCTGAGTGCAAAGCCTGACATGGGGCTCAATCTCACAACCCTGAGACCATGATCTGAGCTGAAATCAGGAGTCAGACTCTCGAGCAACTGGACCAGGTGCCCCATATTAAAATTTTTTTTATAGATTTTTAAATTTAAATCTCTACTTTTATTTTTTTAAGTAAGCTCTACACCCAATGCGGGGCTTGAACTCAAAACCCCAAAATCAAGAGTTGCATCTCTATGGACTGAGTCAGCTAGGCAAGTACCCCTTTAAGTTCACTTTAAATGGTAGAGTTGATTCTTCTCTATCTCAGCACTCTATCCTTCAGAAAACTGCATATTTTGTAATGGTAATTCTGTCTCCACTGTAAAAACAGCATGAGAGCAAGGACTGAATCTGGATGCTCACCACTAGCTCACTCAGCATTTGCCGCATTTAGAGGCTATCAATGAATACAGTGTTACCCCAGAGATCACTTACTAATTACAAAATGGAGGTCACCACTTTAACCACAAGTCAAATTTAACATCATCAATAAGGGACCAACTAACCCTGTGATGTGATGCATCAAGAAGGGACATGGCATCTGCCCAAAATGCTTAACTTGGATCTCATTATGAGGATACAAGCAGACAAATCAAAACTGCAAAATATTCTGCAAAACAGCTAAGACTGGGACTCTTCAAAACTATCAATGTCACAGGAGAAAACAACACGAAAGAAAATAAAACTCTGGAATAGTGTTCTTGATTACAGAAGCCTGAGAGATAGAACTAAATGAAGTGTGTAATTCTGGATTTGATCCCAAATGAGAAAGGTAGGAAGGAAAAGGAAGGAAGGAGGGGTGGATGGAGGGAGGGAAGGAGAAAAGAGTACAGCAAAAAACGCATCCTAATGAATGCGATTACTGGAGCAGTTTGAATATAGGATGTTCATTACATAATAGTATTACATCAGTGTTAAATTTTGTGAGTGTGAGACCATCTTGTGGTTATGCAGGAGAATCTCTTGATCTTAGGAGTTTTTGCCAAGTGTTTAAGGATGAAGTATTATAATGTCTGCAACTTGTTCTCAGATGATTCTCCAGAAAAATGTGGGATCCCAAGAGTACAAGCATACCTGGGCATAGGGGAGCAATGAGGCAGAAATGTTGACAATGGTAGAATATAGTTGAAGACTACAGGAGCTTGCAACTTTTTGATTTGAAAATTTTCAAAACAGAAGCTGGAGAAGATAAATAAAGCATTTATGGAGTGAGTGGACTTTGAAATTCAAGACAGATGCATCTTAATGCATCTTAAGATGTCTTTCTTAATCCTGAGCCCTTGAATGAGCTTCCTGCATTCCAGGAATACCTGACATGGTAGGCAGAATGTGTGGGTCCCTTCACAAGTGTGAGTATGTGTGTGTATGCATGTGCATTCTTTCCTTAGCGTTTATCAGATTCTCAAAGGAGGTTGTAACCCAAAAAGGGTTCTAAACTCCTGGTATGATTACTAGGTCTAACCCCAGTGGGGGCCCCATTCCTCGCCTCCACCTCCTCCCACCTCTGACCCCACACACCCTCCCTGCACGTTCCTCTCATCCCTCACCACCTAACCCACACCCATCTCACGTAACCTGCTCTCACACCTGCTGGGATGCCAAGGATTCACCCACACATTACTCTGGTGCAACATGCTCCTGGATTTGGCTGACACTTCACTAAATCAGCCCTGAAACCTGCAGCCAGTCCTCCCACAGCCACACTATGTTTTTATGATTTGTTGTTAGGTAGGTTGGGCTTTCTGTAGCACTGGTGGAGACCCACCACCTCTCTTTCCTCCAGCCCACTATACAGTGTGCTTGGTGTGAATTAAGATTGGTGATGGGGGATTGTGCTAATGCAGTCCTCACTGGAATAAATCTCACTTGGATATGAGGAGGGACAGGCTAGTGGCTCTTGCAGGGTTGGGTGACAGTGAGCCAGAATTGACTTCTACTAATTACTATGTGTGTGTGGGTTTGGGAGTGAGTACAATTCAGGATTACACAAGGGAGAATGCAAGAGAGCATCTTGGGTCAAATAGCTCAACAATTTCATGCCAACTCTTATGCTCCCAAATTCTATCCAAACACACACATACACACACCCCACAAAAATATAAAACCCTCAGAAGAACACTTTATATCTTCTATTTCTATTTCTGTCTATTTCTAAAACATTTGAGAGATTTTACAGGCTTTTATCTTATACGGCTAGTTCTAAGAACTCAGCCTAATAAAATAACATAAATTATGATCAAAGAATTATTAACAGTGGTGACAATTCATGTGTTCAATATCACCATATCCCGTAAAAACCCTGAGGTTAAAACCCTGATTTTGTAGTGGGTGAATTACATGGTATATGAATTATAGACCAAGAAAGCTGTTAAAAAATCCTGAGATTGGAGTGGTAAGGATCCTGTTTTTGTAGTTGAGGAAACCAATACTCTAATGACATGGAGAATTGAGGCAGAATCTGGATTTGAATTAAGGCCTTTCTGACCATCAACTCCACTTCTGTAACCTCTTTCTAATTCTATATATCCCCTTTCCAAAAGATCAAAAGATGTTCATCATGAAAATTGTGAAAGATAAAACAACCCAAATATCCTAAATTGCAGGACCAGTTAAATAAATTGCGGCATATCCCTATGGTACAATATTAGGCATCATTAAAACTTATGATTATCCTGAACTTTAAGTGATGAGAAAATTTTTATTTCATAAGATTTTAAAATAAGGAT